ATACCCATATTATCTATTCACAGTAATTTACCTAAAGATTTAAGTTTAATTATGTATACATATTTTTTAGTTATATATAAACAAAAAGTTTAAAAAATAAGTGCACTAAAAAACAGCCTAAAACCACAACTTGTTTCAAGATGAAGCCATAGGCCTGTCCACCCTTAATTATCCATTTAATATGTTCAGTCTGTATGTTAAGTATATATTTTTTCAAACTGAGTTAAACATTTACTGAATTTAAACGTACTAAGGCGTTGGCCTGTAAAAAGCAAACAAAATGAATATCTGTAAAAAAATGGAGCAAGTTCTACATTTTTCCATTTGACTCTCTTGGGATCATCTTTCTACAGATGTGTCTGACACGCAGAATGTTTTTAGAAACTGTTGACTCAGCCTTATGTTACAATAACAGAACAGCAATTGTTCACTCAATGAGAACGCACCCTTTTGCTAGTCTGATGGCAGCATATTAACTTGTTTTTTGTATTTTATTTTCTTATTGCCTTGATGGATCTGTGAAATATCATATAGTGTTGCTAATCTTTAACTGGCTTCCATGTTTAAAGTAGGTTACTAGATTATTTTTCTTGAAAGGATCTGTTGACATTGCTCACCTAATTTGCCAATGTAAGCCAATCTTCCTAAATAAAATTCACTGGAAGGTTTATTAATAATAGTGATAATTAAAACTAATTATCTATGATCTAAGTGTTAATAATAACTAGTATATAAACAGTGGGATTTCTCCTCATTAAGATTTTAGCAAGAACAGCAAGTAAGGGACTATATCGACTAAACCGTGACTAATTTTCAACACATAAAAGGTTGATGAATAACAAGATAAGGGAATATCTAATTATTTATTTGACAACTACATCCTAATTAATTGACATTTGTTCCCCTTTATACAGCTAGGCGTTTGATTTAGTGATTGAACGAAGAATAATCCCACAAGATTTGAATCCACAACTTTCTAGTTATAATACATCCTAAACAATACTCCTCACTGCTGCTGCCTATCGTGATATCATAAAAGCTACAACCATTTCACAAAGTTAGAAAACAGAAACTTCTGAAGCAACTTTTAATTACATTTTGATGTGGAATTTAATACAGATAAAAAAAAGACACAGTAGTACCATTGTCCTTAGTACGACGTGCCCACAGTAACACATTCTAGAACTATCTAGTAGATAGTTTGCAGGATAAGGTATATAAATTCTAATATGCACTGGTAAGTAAGAGTAACAATTATACTAAGTAGTTCAGAGAAATCACAAGTGACAAGCCAAATTCTAGAAGGCATATAGTCACTACACTACTCTGGGACTGTTATATCCATCTGATTTACAACTTTATACCTTTTTGGACTTCAGTGGCTTCAGCACAAGAAACTCCAGGAAGAAATAGCTGATAAGATTTACTGCAGCTATTCATCACCATGGACATTTTTGCATGCGTAGACAGCTGAGAGACAAAATGATCGTTTTCTGCAGACTATAGGCCTGAGATGGAGATAGGCAGACTGTTGAATGGTTTTATCCAATCGGCAGTGATGAGTGCATTTTGGTGGTGTGGTCAACCTCCAATTTACGTCACCAAAGAGACGAGGTTATGAATGTGTAGTGCCTTTTTGCCATCATTGTCTGCGATTCAAGATCAATAAAACTTAACGCGGTAACGCAAAAGTGGCCCTATTACATGGTAAACATGCTTTTGGAATTTTGCTGCTACATTAATTTGAAATATTCATGGATATATTAAATATTCATGAAACAAGACACGTACAAGACAAGGTTGTTTTAAGTACTTTAGCTAAGTATTGCAAAAAGAGCAACCTGCCAACCAACTAAAATACACTCGTATTCAAATTTTACAAACGGCCTCCATCATTTACATTAGTGGTTATTTTATGATAAATAATGCCTAAAAGAAAAAGCCTAGCAGGACTTAGATTTGTGGCAGACTTGCTGAGCCATAACCCATGTCATTGCCTGAAAAGCTGATTTAAATGAGTGCAGCTGAATTGAATTCAACAAATCAACTTCAAAACAGATTTTGCAGACAAATACTACTCACTTGCTATCTCAACATGCAGATCACATTCCAACATTTCTGGGGTGAAATGTCTGCTGCACAACCTGTACTTATTTGATCATATATCATGCTGAATCTCGTTGAGAAACTTATCAATGGGACCAACATAAGTGCCAATGTTTATTACTCACTCATCTTAGTTTGACTAAATGTTGATCCAATTTCCTCTTTTTTTAGTGCGACCACTATGTTCTGAACAGTCAAATGCTCGACAGAGAGGCATTGTTTTAAATGTATACGAGTTCAAGGAGACCAAAAAAGGATAACAGTTGTTCAAAGACCATTGCTTGCAGCGGCTAGTGAGCAGGAAGGGCCACTTTCACGTCACAATTTGCAGTGAACTCTTACTCGCACCCGTGCCTAGACCCGCAGTTTTCTCGTCTGCCAGTGACAACATGGCAACCATACCATACTTTCACAAAGGTCACCAGTTGGCACTTAATTGGACATTTACAAAATTTTGCGATACCATCAATGCATTTATGTTGTTACCGAGATTTAATACCCAGTCTGAGAAAGTGGCAATGCAGTTCTCCTTTACATCTGGAAATCCTGAAACCTTTTGTACTAAATTTGCATTGTTTTCTTGTTTAAATCAATCAAGTCTTATCAGATTTCTTACTGAAAATGTATTGTGGTACTCTGATGGGTGTGTTTGTTATACTTACGATATATGCATTTATGATATTTAATTAAATATAATTAACATATCAGACTGTAGTGCTGCATTTTGTGCGTAGAAATATATAGAAATGTAATGAGGTGTCTGGCTAGGGTGTTACCAGAATTGACATCTGGAGCTCCTAAATGAAAATGAAAAGATGAAGAGGAGCATGATTAAAAAAGTACCTTTGGCTTTTGAATTTCAGTTCCTGTGAAATGCAACTTAGTTTGGACTTTTCTTAGTCCTCCCCTGATCATGTAGACCAATCAACATGCTGGGGTACTGTTAGGATGACTAATACCAGTGACTGTTCATACTTTCCACCCCACTGTGCTGTGTAGGTATACAGTGACATACACCTATCGCATTGAGCTTTGCCCAAATTGCTGGGGTTGTATTGCCCCAGTCTGTAAATTGAAATTAAATAAAGGTTAAGGGAGCGAATGCGCGTTGCAAGAGATTCATTTGATTGTCTCTGAATGTCTGTAAAGTGATCCCTTCACCTTAAAGAATGAGAAGAACAGAAGAATGCATACTCAAAAACTCTAGGTGTGCCTGAGAAAACAAAAACATAAAATGCAGAGCCAACTAGATGTACTGTACAGTCTACAATCCAAAGTAAATTTTATTTAACAACTGATGGTTGGGGAACTTTGATATACAGTGGAACTTCAGCCAAATATGTTTGTCCCGATGATTTTATGTAGTTTCGTATATATAAATACATCTTGCTGTCTCAGACTTACCTTATGGATATCTGACCTTATTTTCATTATTTTTCTGCAGATTTTTATGTTCTATCTCTATTCCTTTTTTTCCGTTGGGTAAAAACCACCATTGTTTTTTGGCCATTTCCTGTAAAAGGGACTCACCTCCCTTCCTGTACCAATAAAAACATTCTTATTATTCTCACCCAGTTAGAGTGCCAATCAACTGGTATGAGTAAGGTTCTTAACGAGTAACGAGAGACACAAAAACAGCAAAATGAGTTTGGAATGTGCATTTGCTCTCATGGCAAATGCTGTCTTGTTACTCTTAAAATTTTAAGCTAAAAAAGTAATTGTAAGTCAAATCATAAATGTGTCTTAAATAAGTCACTTTGGTGAAGACGTTTGCCGTTAGCAGACTGGCCTTTGTTGAATGGCTAGTCAGAAAATCAGAAAATAAATCTTCCTCTCTTTGGCAAGAAAAGCCTCCACTGTCCAATGTCTTTAGAAAATAACTGGAAATAAAAGCATGCAAAAATGTCAAGCTTATAGTGGTTATTATCTTATTAATGTAAAGTTTGTGTGTGCTTTTCCCAAACACAGTAGCGACAACTGGACTAACCTGTGAGGTGTGGCTTTCTTGTCAGCATGAGAACTATCTGCTGGACAGCAGCACATCTCCACAGGTCCTGTGTGCCGGATCAGGCCGACCGCCTAAGCCCCCTTCTGGCTGCTACAACACCACTCGCACAAAGCCTTTTAAATTGCCTGGCTCCAAAGACGTCCACTGCAGTCAACCAGGACGGGGCTGTTAAACAGATTTTATCTCCGACATGACCGAGACACCCCTTAGAGCTTGTCCCAAAAGAATGAGAAAATGAAGCCGGAGATTTATTGTGCTTGAGTCGTCTTGTTTTTACATGACCTACAGCAAAGAGCAGTACAGGTGTTTGGGCATGCTAAAAAAAGAAAAAGGAAAGTCCAGCGAAGGCCTGCACTGCAAGTGTTTGGCCACATTTGTAAGTAAAAGATGCACATGATATTTCACAATATCACTTCATTTCTGTGCCAATGTACAGAGGTAGATAGATGGTAGAGGTGGATATCTGGCAAAATACAACTTTCAGCCTTATGGTGGTTCTTGCACTGAAATATGCTTAGGAGTGTCAATTATTTCCTGCTGTATCACAATGCTTGGAAAACCGAATTGTATTAGAGCTTTTAATTCCATCCTTTGGCGTAATGAGCAGAGAGATTGCTTGATTAATGAACTGATTGACTCATAGTTGCAGAACTGTACATGATTTTAGCAAACGGTCTAGCACTTGCGCTGGAAGGTGACAGGTTACAGCTCGGGCCGCCCCTCCATTTAGGCGCTGTTCACCCCCGGGCCACCTGTCGCAGGAATTGAAAAACGAACGTCGGTGCCGAGGTCGGGTTTTGCAACAGTACCAGTGCGGGCTCCGATCGAAGCACCCGCTGGCTGATGACGCCCAGTCTGCTTCATCTTCTTTTGTTTTGTTTTTCAGCTCCGTGCTCAGAGCAGCCCGCACCCAGGCCCTATCAGGGAGTCCGTGTCAAAGAGCCGGTCAAGGAGCTGCTGAGGAGGAAGAGGGGAAATCTCACTAACACTAAGCCAACAACTGCCACAGCAGTAAGGACAGAAGTCACGTCCTTTCCTTTTAATTCCTGAACAGTCTCAATACATCCCTAAAGCAGCCACTTACACACTAGTAAATTAGGACACTGAGTTTGTTTATGCAGTTAGCCAGTCTGTGAGACTACTATAGAGTGAGAAGCTCATGTTTGTCTCCCCCTAAAGTAACTGTGTAATAATACATTCTTAGTTGGAATTTTATTTAAGGCAGTTTGTTTAATAACACCTTTTTTGTATTATTGTAAAATGAAGTCGGCAACGTTCCCCCCACGTGTATTTGATTGGAGCAAAAGGGAAGTTGGCAATGGGATCTCTGTGTTTTATTTATTTTAAAAGAGGAGAGGGACCCGTCGTTTTGTGCACTGTTTTATTTCTTTTCATGTAAATTACTGCTACTGCGGGGAAACAGTGAAGTATTCCTGAATTCAAATGAACCTGGCTTTTATGTGGCGGTGGACGAACCCAGAAACATACCTCTTGTAATAAGAGAGGTGGGTTTTCTGTGAGCAAGGAAGTGTTCAGCACCTTTCCAGATCACGCCTGGGGAAGGAAAGAAATTAATAGGCGCTTTCTGCAAGCTGGCCTTAAGTATTCCAGGTGTTTTTAGCTGACAGTTTAAACCTTTCCCTCAAAGCGCTGTAGGGCTGGGCATGTAGCCCATGCAAATCTCTGTATCGTCCTGCCAAGAAGACCACTGCCAGCATAACAAATTTGAACCTGCCAACAGAACCATAAATACAAATATACTTAAAAGCACAAGTACAATATTAAACTTGGTTATTTGGAAAACTAGAAAAAAAATCTGAAGACGCTGTTAAACCTATCCATGCAGTGATACTGTACAGCATATCACTGCATGTTGGCAGGTAAGAGGTTCTCTGGGGACACAGAAGTAAGGGCTGTCAGAACCAATCATTAATTAAACAGTGAAATGTGGTTCTCGACCAGCTATTTCCTCTAATTTCCTCTAGTGACCAAAATGCTTGTGGTATTTTCCATATTTGTAAAAGAAGCATAAACATATAATTCAGTCTTGAAAACAGGTTTCTTATAGTCTTGTGTATGAATCATTTTCACAATATATCAGTTATGACCCTTCTATGTGAAATGTTACTTTAAGAGTAAGTTTAGTCTCCAATTATATATTGCTTAGTACTTTATGGTAACAGCAGTCCACTTTCAATTATAGAATAACAACTTTAAAGAGACATTTTTATTTTTTTTTACATCTTACTGGTTAGTCTAGACATTATACACAGTTCCTCCTATGCATATTTACATACCAGGTTCCAAAGCCTTCTCAGAGATGTTGATAATGCAGTGGGGTTTTGAAAGCACATATGACTATTAATATTTCTAACTAAAAACTGCATTTTGACTGAACAGTTCCCAAAGAGCAATCAGCTGTGTATTTTGAAAATGTGCGTTTCCTGTTAAATATGAAGTGGGTGCTAATTGTGAATAAACTGCTGCCTATGAATCTTATTAACTTAGAATGTGTTTGGAACAAGTACACCAGTAAACACTCCTTTAGTAGTAGTTCCTTTAGTTAGAGAACTGATCTGAAGGAAAAAGATAGGGGAGGAACATATGATCATTTGCAGTTAACTAGATACAGTAGTTGCTGGGATTGTGTACAGTTGGTAAATAATCCCTGAAAAATCCAATCATACATCTTGGACAGATTGCCTCTTGAAGGGTTATTTTTTAACCACAGTTTTGTATTCTTCACTTTGATCACTTTGCTGTGTCTTTTGATTGTTTAATAATTAAATTCCCAGTATAAATTACCTGGGTTCATTCCCAAGTCATGGGATTTGGGAATGAGATCCAGAAATATCATCAGCATTAATATCATTATTGTTGCCCTTTTGTGTTCTAATTGTATGACCATTTAATATTTCTCCCTCTGTGCTCCAAGTGCTTATGTTCTCACAGCAGGCAATACAAATGGTTTCGCCCCATTATATATGGGTCACAACAGGGTAAAAGATTTCTGGAAAAGACCGTTGCTGAGGAAAATAATGTTACACTGAAGGTTTGACCTAATGTGAGCTTTTTACAGGGGCAGTCCATTAAATGAAAAGGAAAAAAAAATGTTTAAAGTGCAATATGACTGGATTGCTTTAGGTGTTCGGACCTAATCTGTCATAGACAAACAAAATCTTTGACGGTTTCTTCTTTTTTATAGAAAGTGTTAGTTAGTCATCCTCTAAGGTCGAAGAAAACTGCTTGTGGTTTTTTTGGAACACCACAGTGGGTTAATGATCAAGCCCATGCACTCTTTCCATGTTCAACGTTAAGAAGTAGAATTTAAATGTGTCTCTGACTCCTTTTTATTGCCTTAGTTCTTTTTACCGTACTTCCTCAAATGAAATTTTCCTCTCCTCTCGTGTGCACCCAAAATCAGTCTTTAAGAAGACCTCGACCGAGAGCACTTAGAACAGGTCCAAACGAATTGCTTGGAATCCGTTTCGTAGTTTGTAGTTTTGTCACTCATGTGATTGGCAAAACCAGAGGGGAGTTCCCCGAGGCTTTACAGCACACAGATTTGATGCTTAAGTCTAGGTTTTGTTTAAATAGTGACTGGGCGGAGCAGTGGTGTGGTAGTTAAAAATGGCGTTTCGGCTCCTGGACCTTGGGTTTGTTTCCAGACCAGGGTGCCAATTGGAAAGTTTACATCTTCTCTTTGTGTTCATGTGAGGTCACTCCAGAGCTGTGGTTTCCCACACCTTTATAAATCAAGTTCTTTGGTCAATTGGTGTCCCTAAATTGTCCTTGCATTTGTGTGTGTGTGCAAGCAGAGGTGTTCCATCCAGGATGCAGTCTCACCCTGAGTTGTTTTCATCCGACTTGGGCTCTAGGTTACAATGACCCTTACCAGTTATAAGTGGCTTTAAGATAATACACGGATGGGTGGAAGTTCTGTAATTCTGCCACGGTATAAAATCCCTGGACCTCAGATCTATGAATGCTGTGCCATTGCAAAATACTGCGTAGTTTATTATAGAGGTAAGGATTATCTCTTCAATCATCTCTTCCAGGTAGTGGTCCCACACCCTACGTTATCAACATATCCGCAGATTGGTAAGTTTACACCAGACTTGGTCCATTCCGAAACAGAATTGAAAATGGAGAAAAGCTGCTTAAAACGTACTGATGTCAAAAGTTAAAATATATTCCATACAAGAAAAGATTGAAATAATGGTCCTGTAAACTTTATGTAAAAGGTCAGGAAAAAAGGCTTATGATCTGAAGTATTCCTAAAGCTAAACAGATGAAATTGCATGCATTACATAATTACAGTACAATTTCTTTGTACCACTCCACCATTCCTGGAGTCATGATTCAGTGAAGAAAGCGTGACATATTTTGAGTTATTTCCCTGCCCTCTTTCGAAACAAGGGCCCTAACTCTGCTGCTGTGCCTCGGGCCCATGTCATATACCTGAGTCTCGCTCCCCAGCCCTTTGAAATGCAGATTTAGGGTAGAAAGGTTAAGTTGGAAAGGACTGTGCGTGACACCCTAGACGTCAGACATCAGTCCTCACACCGATGCTCTCCATCTGATGTTAACCTTCAGGCCACTCCGGGTTTATGGAAGTGGGCAGCAGTGGCCCGGAGCTGTCTGCCTCGGAGGACGGCGCCATCTGCACGGGCTGGATTGCCCAGCCGTCCGGAGCGCCTCTCCAGCCCATGTCGCACTGGACCGCCTGTCCAGACTACCTTCCCCAGGATCCCTCCATGTCTGCCTACACTGCCGACATGTACGTGCAGCCCGTCGGCCCCAGCTACGCGGTGGTGGGGCCGCCCTCCGTGCTGACCTACACGCACGCGCCTCTCTTCACGAACTTCGGGGTGAGTTGCGTTTCCCGCCGGCACTCCCCGCTGCGAACCCTAACGGCCGGCCGAGCTGTTTCATGAATCGCTTCTCGGGGGCTTCCTACGAGACGGAGCCTGGTGAAGGAAAAACCAAATATCGATACCCACAAAATCGCCTCTGGGCTTAAAAATGTAGTATTTCGAACGGGTATGGTGTGTTTGTTATGGTCTGCTGTGGATCCCAGATTTTAAGGATTTTGATTGGAAAAATGTCCCGAGCCTTTAAACGGCATAATAGTCACTCAACAAACTGCCCAGTCTTGTTGTTGAAGCCTTAATCTTGGCTTCATTCAGGCCACGACTGGATAAGATCCTTGGATCAGTAAGCTATGAAGTACCAAATGGACTTGATGGGCTGAGTACCCTATACTGTATATATGAGTGACACTGACACTAATGTACCATTGACGCACACTGACCAATGACTCTTCTCATATACACTGCATTAAAGACATGTGTGATGTGCTTTTGCAAGTCAAAGAAATACTGACGTATATTATTGCCCATCCTTTTTTTTTTACTTGAGGAGTAGATCACATCCACTTCTTGTTTGCTGTGGCAGGGTGGTTTTCAGGAGGGTGTGGGAGGAGAGTACAGAGCCTCCCAAAAGCAACTCGAATGCACCCTCGTCTCCAGTGATCGGATATCTTTAGATTCCTCAACTGCGGAACGCTGAGTTCTGGAATTCCAGAAAGGACAAAGAAGATGAAGTCTAATTCGGACCTGGAGTAACAGCTGCCAACATGTTAAATTTTAAGATTTAAACTTTGTGGTCTGTAGCCCTTTGATCTAAAAACATTTGCAAATACAAAGCTAGTTATCCTGTTCGTTACCATGGATTAACCTTATCTCATCAGATCTTAAATATTAAGCACAGGTGGGCGTGCTCAGTACTGCCGTGGGAGACCTGGAATGAAAATCAGGTTGCTGCTGTAATAAGTGTTGGTGGACTACGGGGTGCCAGTCTACCCCCTGGGATAAAATTTCCAAACCAATGGTCCATCATGGAACATTGTGCTATCGGTTTTTCCATCCTTTGGATGTAACAAATTAAACTAAGGTCCTGACTGAACAAGGTCTTTCAGTACTTCAGGGTGCTATTCATTAGAGAAGTCGTGTTAACTACAGTGTCCTGGCTAAATTCACTTCAGACTTTGCTCTTATCTACATTTTGTTCTGAATTTGGTGATCTACTTCCACGCCTGATCTGCCGTGTGCGGCTTCACCCCTCACCCAGGTGCACTAGTGTTAAATGAAGAACATTAATGGTAAATTAAGTGGGTCCCCTCCTACCATAGATTAAGCACTTTGGGCGGATTCCTTGCCATTAAAAATGCCATTTGAATTCAGACAGCTATGCCATGAAAATCACGCACTACAGAGAATGAAACTTGGCCCTCTGAAAGACAGTACAGAGCTCAGTCCAAGGGACAACAGCTTTACACACCAGAGGGCATTAACAGTACTCATGACCACGGAGGAATTTGCATTGTTTTTCCTATTGTGTAATATAGCCAGTGAGCCTACCCTCTCTATTGTCTGCGATTGTTCATCCTGTGGTTCAATAAGGAAATATAAAGAATTCTGCGCAGTTGATTTGGTGTGGTTTCTAAAAGTCAAAGAGCATGTGCTTTAATGAAAATGTGGACAGGAATTCAAACATCTCAGTGAAAGCCCACTCAATCAGGCAAACATGCAACACAGTAAAATGAACGGGTATTGCATTATTGATAAATGTTTGTTTAACCTCCCCCCCCCCAAAGAATGAACGGGATTAAAGGACTGCCTTGTCTATGTGCAAGCAAATCAGCGTACCGTTGGAGTGTCAAAATCCCTAAACCCTGTCTTTTCCTTTCCAATGTGCGGACAGACCAGAAACGCTTCACCCATGGCCCTTGCTCAAGCTGACCTCTCCGAGTCCTCGGTGACCTATTTCCCCTGGGCGCAGTCCCTGGCCACCCTGCCCGCGCCGGCCATGCAGTGCCCACCCGGCGTCGCAGCCTTCCCGCCTGCGCAGCTCGTGCCTCTGCCCATCACGGTGCCCGAGCCGGACCCCCAGAGACTAGATCAGGCGCGGGCCACCATCGGCAGCCTGCCCATCGAGAAGCTGCTGCAGGAGGACGAGGACAAAGACACGTACGTTCCCATCAGCGCGCTCTTTATCGAGGGCATGTGAGGCCCACCCAGACGTGCAGCAGGACCCACAGACTCTGCATAGATTCAAGCGTGTTTACAGGAATCTCTGCAGGAACATGGGGCAAAACCTTTGCCCCCTGTGGCAGGTTCTGCAGAGCTCAGCTCTTGCCAGTCTGACCTAAGTTCCCTTCTAGAGAAACGCAGCATTCCGATGGCATGACCTCCACTTCCTCTCACGTGCTCCAAGAGGAAGTGCCCACTGCGTCCCAGCCGGACGAGCTGAAATTGTATCCTAAACACAAGATCGCTCCGACTCCCCATCTTCCTGACACGGCCAGTCCTCTTTTTTCCAAAGCTTGCCAGCTCGTACCTTTGGCTGAGAGGAAAACCAACATACAAATAAATTTGTTTAAAAAACACAGCACTTACAAAAATTTGAATGGGGGGGGGAATTCTTACCTGACAGGGGTGGTGGTGGGATAACAACCAATCAAATTTTCAGTGGCCGCGTCGGTGTTGTCGAGAAATCGGTCTTCTGCCACTGCGAGATACCAAACTGAAACAGCGGGAGAAGGGATTCCCTCTCCAGCTACCCCACCTTGCCCTTGCAGTAATCCTCCCTTTGTTTAACAGCTTGGCTTAAATCAATCGGCTAGTTCAAATACCAGTACCCCTGCAGTAAGATCTTATCCTTTCCAGTCAATTATCTACCTTCTCTGTGTCTGCGATTAGAGTTTCCCCTTGGGGTCTGTATATTCCTTTATTTAACTTTACCCCCAAGGGCAAACTGACAAAGCCCTGTGTCCAAGAAGCCATCCCTTCATTGGCTGTGCCGGTGCCAAATGCGATACCATGCGCTGTATTTCACGGCACCCTGTCACTCAAAGCCTCGCTGCTCGTTTCAGTTAGGAGAGCAACGCCCCACGCTTCTGTCTCAGATGTGGCCAATATCAAGACAGTTCAACCTCAATAGGCCCTAATGCAAACAGGCCAGGATCAAGAGAAATGAAAGATGTAATGCAAATGGATAAGTGGTTTGATTTGGCTTGGCCGAGCAATGACAGCAAAGGCCTGTTCTCCACTAAAACCAAAACAATGCTGTTTAGATTCATTGTTTGATTATGGAGTGCAAGGGTGTTTTTTCCAAACTGCATTTACGCGGACAAATTGAAGTGATTTTTGTGAACCTGCCTATCAGTTTGAAGACAGACACAGAGAATATGTACATATAAGTTCTGCAGTAAAACGTATAACATTAGTGCTGGGTATCTTTCTCAGTAACTATATAATGATTAGTGCTATAATCATCACAGCATATTACTTTTGTGCTCAAACATCACTCCCCAGCTAATTACGCATGATGATTCTTACAAAACGGAACAAAGTTTGACACCTCGTATTTCTTTAAGAATGATCATAGCATCCCTGTCTAATTTTACCATTTAAAATACAGTGCATGTTCTATGAACTGGCTAAATTAAGTGGGGAGATTAAAAGATGTAAAAAGGTCAATTTACAGGGGGAAAAAATTGTTTTGCCTCTGTGCTTTTGAAGGGACTTTTTTGTTTTGTCTGCCTCGTTTGTCCTGTTGCAGTTTTTTGAAAATATATATTTTCTTTCTGGGTTTTTCTGCTGCAAAGCCCAGTGTAATACCCACAGTGGATCAACATGTAAGGTCAAATCATCACACTTTACAAAAAGTTCATTTTATATTTAAAGAAAATCCAGGCATGAAAAATCACCACATTTACAGATGCATTCTACACTTTAAATTGGAACAACCAAAAAATCATTCTTTTCTCAGGAGAACCAACCTCCCATATTTTTAAAATTTCTTTCTTTCACATGGGAGTGTGGGCATAATATTTTGGGGGGCAATTTGGAACAGGCCAGGGTAATTTTGCAGAAAAACCCAGTAAAGATTTTTCGTTATTCTTAATACTTCCAGACTGTGCTATTCAAAGAAAGACATCATTTTCTGTTGGTCCTTTAAATAACGTATGTAAAACCTGTATTACATATATCAATCTTTTTGGGTTGTTCTGCAAAATTAAAGCTTGGAATTGAAAACAAAATAAAATATGATTGGTCATTAAACTATGTGCTCAATGACTCATTCTTTTTGATTACTTCTGATTTGCATTTTCCTGATGATTTTGTTTTGCACGCCCTGTGTTTCACACAACTCTCTCTTGCTTCACCCCTGCCATCGCTAACCTTTAAGGCACCCAAAACGTTCACATTGTGCACCTTGAATTCAGAAAAAAACCTAGAACTCGCCTAAGTTCATATCAATTTGCCGAGCTGGTGCTTTTGAATTATCCTCATACTGCACCAGGAAATAAGGAATAATAAGAATAGTATATGAACAAGAAGCATGAGCTTCAGAACCTTTTGTTTGTGTATTGCCAGACGAAATCTTTAACAGGTGACACATTCATGTGTAAACACCTGCTAATTTTGATGTTTCTTTTCCTGAATTTTAATCCGTAAAATGGCGCACGGATTTTGACATGACAGGTGAGCTGACGGCGTGAGCAGTCTCACTGTGGTCTCATTGGAATGGCTTGCTCGTCGGAGGTGCCCTGTGTTTCAGATACGAAAGCGTCCCAGTGGTTGTTGAGTGGAGGAATAAGCGCTGGCCGGAGCACCGGCGATCTGCAGAGACTGATCTCCCAAGCCTGTCTTTTCTCGCCTTAGGATTCTCCACATTTATGTAGCCAAAGAAATGAGAGAATATGCGTACGCAGCCGCGGAGAAAATGAGAGAGCTGCACAGAATTGATACAAAGGAACACCATGGGAAGGTAATCTTGGGAGCCCTGTTTCCTTTTGCTTGCTTCTTCTTTAAAAAGGGTGTGGGAATGCTAGCACTCACCCTTCCACACTTCAACTGCTAAATCAAGATGACTAATATCCAAAGTTGTTTGGGGTTGTGAATGGGGCTCTCTTTTTAATCAATTATCCAACCCACAAAAATGAGTCAAAGGTCTAATAGAATCAGTGTCTTGATCCCCATGGGCCAAAAAGAAAAACAGCACGCAATACTAACAAAGGCATTGCTTCTTCACTGGTTATTTGGAAGATATTCTAGTAGTGGGCCTGTCCCATTCTGAATGCGATGATTAATCTGCTTGTTACTGGAAGAACCTAATCAAATAACTGCCAGCCAGCCCACAAACTGTTTCAGCTATGTTAATGTGGCACAAAACTGCCTTTCATCAAAGCTTATTTTCATTAGGTAAAAGAAAAACACTCTTTTTTTTTCTTCCTTTTTTTTTTGCTTCCTGACACACCTACTCCATAAGAGGCAGATGTTTTCCAAGGATCTGAAAATGACAGGTGGCAGGACTTCTGCCAGTGTGTGGGGCCCGCGGAGATGCTCGTTAGATTTTAGCTCCTCCGTCACTTGTTCCTGCTAAGGGAAGATGCACAATAATGCCAGGCTGGGTTTGAGTTGCCTTTCAGAAAGCCTGGTGCTACCTGTCTATCTGATAGTGCCTTCATTTCAATTGAGTGTTAATCTTTTTCTCCGCCCGTATTTCATCTTTACTGATTCCAGCTCCACCAATGAGGACTGACTGAAAGCAGGCCCTATTGTCCTTGCTAGCACGTTATAAAACCTCCCAGCAGACATCACTCAGTACACTGAGGCCATGTGAAAGGTGTCGGTGCCTAGGAAGAGCACCCTAGAGCCCTACCTTATAGAATGACAAAGGAGTGATTGATTTCTCTTCATCTTGGTGTTACAGATGTGCACCGCGATTACACGAGTATTCAGAGTTTGCTTTCTGCTTGAACTTTACATGGTACTTTAAACATGACTCTCTTGTGACACCAAATGGATGATGCCATACATACCAGCAATTCTTCACTGGCTGAGGCATCTGCCTTGCACTTGTTTATTAAGAAACAATGGCTGCACCCCCTTTGGGGCTGGTGAGCCTGGCTATGCTGGCTCAGAAGTGTCGCTCCTGTACTTGCAGACCCCCTTACTGGTTGCAGTGACCGCCAATGAGCCTTACATCGTACACGATCTGATTGGGCTTGGCGCCGATGTGAATGCAGTTGATGACAGGGGCCAGACAGCTCTGCACCTCGCTGCCACATACGGATACTTGGAAGTCATTCAGGTACTGATTTTATTTTTTGGCACCCTCATAGTGATTGGATTGCCCCAATGCAATGTCTTTTTGCAGTCTCGTGACAGATCTCTCAGATCTATATGTGTGGCTTAAACCTTTGGCACCACTGGGGGAAAATTGACAGGCACTGCCTGAAACCGGTCCTTTTTTTGTCTCTCTCCTCCTACTTTTGTATCTCACGGCAGCTGTCATCTTTATGATTTATGGGAGTTTATGAGGAGAATAGAACACCTCATTACTCGGGTCTTTAGACATACTTAGTCTAAAACCTGCCCACCCACCCCCCACACAATGAGTATCTGAGGTATGATAAATTTAATCCAGAAGTGCAGGGCAGGACTACACCCAGTACAGAATGCCACTGGTGCAACGCACTCACAAGAATGTGGAGATATCATTCATCAATCAAATCAAGGTGGGAGGGAACCTGGAGAGAATCCATGTGGACAACAGGGAAGATAATGATTAGTATTTGGATAAAGGGTTCTCTCTAGCAATGAACTCCCATATTCAGATGTAACTTTGAATATTTCTGTTATGTTTTTGGTATTTTTCAATACTAGTTTCATGAGTAAATGTGGAGTTTTATTTGCACTCCTGCTTTTGTATAGATACTCACCTGCTGTTCACAGCTCTGCACACACCTTTTCAAATACACCCCCTCCATCTTCTCCTTTGCGACTGACTCCCTGGTTCATTCCTCACAGTAGTGGTGGTGGTTGTGGTGGTGGTGGGAGTATCGGCCTTGTCCTTATGGTCAGGGCTGTCATTATCTCAGCCAAGTGAATCAACACCAAACATTAAAATATTAAGTGTGCTATCCCTATATATTTGTTGTCTTGTCCTCACATTAATTAGGACTCTATTGAACAAATGAAAGCTACTGTATGTAAGAAATATTTATTATTCACCGGGAATGTCAACAGATTACCACCAGTGCTAAAGAGGTAATGGAAATGGGCATCTGAATTTTCTGACACAATACAGGAGTATTATTTTTGTATAAATAAAACATTAGTAACCATGTTGCACGTCATCATCCTCACCACAAATGACATCTGCCAAGAGAAGCAGACTTTTGCTTCTTTTAAGCGTGTAGTTCAGGTTGGAGACTCAAAGATACATCATTTCATATGGGTGTTATGAAACCTGACCTTCAAGGAGAAACAATTACCCCCCAGTTTTGTTTCTTTTCACCTGGAAGTCAACCATCACCATAATTGATGTGATTAGTTTTATGCATTGAGCATGTAGTCTGTCATAAGAAACCCTCACAATAATTGCAAGCTATGTGGGAAGGAGCAGCCTTGAGCCAGCTAAAACCTTTGGCTACAATGTAACCCTTTTCCTTGTTTTTCTGCAGAAACGCACATCCATGCACATTTTACATTTAAGGCAAGCCTCTGTAAGGCAGAGACCCTGCAGTTGAAACATAAACAGATGTTTGTAGGTCATAATCTGCAGTTCGGCATATTTGCATAGTCTTCCCAGTGAGTAGAACATCTAGATTCCTTTGTGTTGGGTTGCCAAAACCCTGCATTGTTTTGGCAACCCTATGCAGCCATAGACATAAGCTCTTGTTGTACTCTTCTAAATGGAGGAGGGTGTATGAAGGCTGATAAGAAACCTCTGACCTCTCTACTGCAGTCTCTGACATTTTGTCTGGTATCCAACACAACAGTTAACACCATGGGTTCATGTACATCATAAGGATTCATGGAAGTAAAAATCTCAGCTGCAATGAGAGCCAGCAATGGTGTGGATCCACTGTGTCTGTTGTGTGATATTGAAGTTATCATTTTACTGAGTTATTAAAGACAGTGATTTTATATCTCTCTTCTGAGTCTGGAATGCCTTGGTCCAGCTCTTCTTATGAACTGGTGAGTGAAGTGAGTGCCTAATGTCTACATTCTTGGCCTGTGCAGAACAAAGACCATATGCAAATTGTGTTCATAATAAGGCAGGCTGGAATAAGAAAGAGGGGGTTTCCAGGAAAAAAAACTAGTCAATTGAAAGTTCTTCCATCCATTTCACTCTGTCAAGGTTTCTGGAATAGGAACCTTGCCAATACTTTTGCATATTTCGCATTGTTTTATTTGTAAGTTCTGACTGTTAAAAGAGACAGATACTATTCTTCGAGTACCATTATTTTAGCTTTGTGTATTTTATGTTATATGGAAGAGGAGACAGATTGCAGTCCTGTCAGAACTGAATATATATATATATTGATCCAGATTTCAGAGTAACAGCTTTGTTTGTAAATATTTCACACAGTAGTTCTTGCTTTGTTTTTGTGTCTGAAATATGAGGCAGTAGTGTCTGTGTCAATTTACAAGCTAACAGGCCCAGACTGATCTGTATGCCATTAAAAATGTGTGTGAAAAATGAGCTCACCTTCTGCCTACAGAATGTAATAGCAGAGAACACAGGTGAAGGCTTGTTTCTTTTGATAGAAGTCCCAAGAGTGGTAAGGTTTAAGCTCTCAAATCTCTAGAATAAAGCCTTATTACGGCTGTAATTTGTCATCTTTTCTTTTTTTGAAAAATATTTTTCCTGTCTTTCTCACTGCTTTGTCTATCAGTGCATCTGTTTATCTTTATAACTTGATGTATTTTTGATCATTGTTAATTTTTTTCAGTTATGTTAGCATTATTAGTACAAGTATTATTATTCCTGGGGTTTAACATGTTGAGCTCTTTTTGAAATGGTTAGTCATTCCAGTTCTGCTTATCCCCAGAACCTGACCTTTTATGGATAATTCTCAACCTTACATTTTATTCATCTGCCCAACTAGCTCTTGCAAATATCTCGACTTTACTTGTAAAATGCATTGAGATTAAAATTCTGGCTGTACCTTCTTTAAAGCCCAGTTTTAATGCTTGTCTGTGATATTACACATGTAGCACTACAGAGCAACCTCAAAGAGTCTGTCTAAAGTAGAGTGTGTACAGTTTTAGTGAGTATCTATGAGGCTACACATAAGATACATGGTGCTTTCTACAGCTATTTCATTTATTTGTCTGCTGAACCCTTACATCTGGGGACACTTCTTGCTTCTATTGCTTACACTGGAAAGTTTGAATTCCTTCTCATTTCCTAGGTTTCTTTGCATCAATAGATTCTGTTTTCCTTGAAATTCAAGTCAGTACCCATGAGATTCACTTAAGTGGGAACAAAAATCCCAGGAAACCGTTAAGTCCAGTGAAACCTCTTGCAATCTTTTCCAAGGAAGTCTCTCTGTCAGGACATGCAGGGGTGTTCTGAGAATAGTTTCATATCTGTACACCTTTCGCAAGACCACAAACTAATACAGACAGAGGTATCTGTTTTGAGCATATCAAACAAGTGTTTTGTTTCACCCATGTGTTTAAAGGGGATTTTCTATCATTTGCTTCGTACAATGACATCATTTCTTCTTTCATTTTCGTTGAGGTGTATTAGCAGACTAACAAAACAGAAGACAATGTTTCTTTGGCCATAGCATATCCATTGTTAGCAAACATTGTCAAAACATTGTGTTCTTCTCTTTTCAGCATGGAATAAACCTTTACTTGTTCCATTGTTAGTATTGTTTTAAAAAAAGGTTTTAAAGCCAGCATAATTAATAGGGGGGATGTTGATACCAATTCTTATACATTTTCTCTGATGTGTCCTTATCAGAATAAATACATAGTCTCCATTTGTTCATGGTCCTGGTGAGAAATAGGCTTAGTGAAAATCACAAAACAAAACAATACTCTATGCTCAGAGAGGCCTTGTACCCTCATTTAGTCTAGAAATCCCAACATTCCTTGACAACTACCTTGAGATGTGACTGGCTTGTCAATTTGAGTGCTACTGAGACAGGATGGAAAACCTCTTGATTACTATTGGCAATATCTATGGAAATAGTGCAGGCCATGGACATAAAATGCAAATTTAAAGGGGATACACCCTTGCATTGTCCATTAAAATTAAAGATCCCAAACAACAGTTAAGTGTTAATACTTTGCATTGTGATTATTTGTTATCCAGTCAATCAGACAGTACCAATTATGCAAAAGCTTATCCTAGCTCTTCTGGGCAGGGCTTTAGAGTGGTTAACATACTCTTGGCTCCGAAGCTCCAAAACTAAAAAAAAATACCATTTAGCAGATTGAAGGGGTAAAGATCTGCCCGTCTCCTGGTGGAACTGCTGCAGCTCCAGTCCACAGGCTGTGAAGCAGGGCTGGAAATGGTTTTTTCACCCAAAACCTGCCACCACAAATTTGATTCAGTTTCCAGATCCCATTCATGCACTGGTTTACAATGAGTCCAAGCTTGGTCTGCCATTAATGGCTCTGTCTTGATGACCAATCTCTTGACCCTGTGAATATTGTATATGCCCCAGCATGCCAATAGCAGTAGCCTTTGGATCTTCTCTGAGATATGCCTCCTCCTGATTAAAGGAGCTACATTGCTGACATTTCCCCTCAACGATGAAAGGTGCCCAGCTGGTCCCTACACTGTTGTACAGCAAGCTAACTAACCCAAGCAAGCTATTGTGCCACATAGAAGATCCTGTTCACCACCACTCACAGCTGATGTGTGAAGTCACTCTGGCTTGAACAAGAGATGTCAAAACAATCAGGCTCTGTCTGCGTTATGAGCAACTGTCTTCTCTGGTTGAGCCACTTGAGAGACCAGCCCTACCAATTTGTTTAGGTCTTTCTTTGAACTTTTTTTCCCCTGAGGAAGGGCTACATCCTTAATGGTCAAGCAACATTGTAAAGGCTGTTCTTCTAAAGCTGCTTTTGGACCCCTGGCTATGATGTTGTTCGGGCTGCTTGTCTTCAGAGTGCTGCAGTCTGATCTGAATTGCAGATATTCTCAAGAGATTCCTCCTTTGTCACTGCCCATATGAGTTGCAGGTATTCTGAAATGAAAGGCTTCCAAAAGCTCAATGGTTAAGATCAGACAAGCAGGGACGTGTTGTTGAGCCAATATATTGCACACCCCTAAAAATTAGTTTAAGTAACTGAAGGCCTAAATGCATTTTTTTGCAATGAGAAGCGTCCTGAGCTCCATGAATTATGCAAAAATTCTTGTGCCATGTGAAAGTCTACACTGCGTGCTAATGAATGACTCAGTCGAAACTATCTGATATGTAAAAAAATGTCATTAAAAACAAACCGCTGCTCTTTTAAGTACCTACTAACTGCACGGAGGTCCTGCAGCTCAGACAGAAATGAGTTTCTTCTGATTTCAGAAGTGAAATGCATGCTTGCTACAGAAACCCACAACTCTGTGTTATTACATTTTTTGGGCGGATGCTTTCATCCAAAGAGATTTACATTTGTATCCATATCCATTTCTTCAGTAAGGTGCTTTGCTGGAGCAATCTAACTGAAGCATTTTGCTCAAGGGTACAACAGCATAGCTCCACCCAAGATATGAATCTACAACCTTCCAGTGAAAGACCAGGAGCCCCTGCCATTGCTCCACACTGCTGCCCATTACAAGACCATTCTGCAGTACGTGCTGAAAGATAAAACTCATGCCACTATTGCATGTTTGGTTGTATGAAGAAAAAATAGTTTTCTTTTCTGAAGACTTCTTCAGTGTCGGATTGAAACTGCGTTGCCGTGTACACTTCGCTGAGGTTGCCAAAGCTTGGCAACACAGCTAAAGTCCTTAAAAACAGGATCAGCACTACAAACGTGAGACCCCAAAGCAGCACCGCTGTTTGCACATCAGTCTAAGTTTAATTGTTGAAGTGCAATTTAAAAGCAATGAGTGTCCAGACCCGATTGAGACTACTTTAAAGCAAAGTTCCAGATAGAGGTGCGTACAAGGTATATACTGGCTCTTGTTCAGTGCGTCATACTCTTAGAAACAGCAGCTCCCCTTCTAGTCAGACAGTCATCCTATGAATGACAATGCTCAGATGTAGAAATGCCCTTGGAAATGAGGAATTAAAGAGACTGAAATCGCAGTTGTGCAGTGGCTAACACTGTTGCCATCCAGCGCTGGGGCCCTGAGTTTGGCTCCGGACCTGGGGTGCTATCTGCATTGGGTTTCTATATTTTCCCCATGTTTGTGTGCGTTTCCTCTGGGGGTTCAGGTCTCCTCCTATGTTCTGAAGATGTACTGATTGGCTGCTGGTGTAAGTGTGTGTGTATTTGTCGCTGCGTGTCTGTCTTGCGCCCACTGCATGTCATGATATCCCCCAAGACCCGGAGCTGAAAGATGCCATTAGAAAATAGGTGGACGGAAAAGGCAGCTTAGATGATACATTACTTGTAGGCAGGACACACTTTTAATTGTTCTTTTTTTGCTTTTAGGTTATTCTGTCTTCTGCAACAGCTGTCAACTTAGAAATGCTGGACTTTGAAGGTAAAACAAAATTAACAGATAAAAGCCAGAGTATCACAGTGACTTCTATACTGCCACCTTTTCTGATTTTTGTTGCACGGCATGACAGTTCGGTGAAAATGCGAAATGATCCTACTCCAGTTTCCTCGTTTGTGGAATCCAGCCAAGGCGTCATTAAAGCACCGTCTGTTGAAATGCTGCAAGGCTTCTTCGCGTTGGGGACATTCTTAGGAACGATGTTTACTCTTGCCTAGTTCATCGTGTTCTCAGTGGATGTTTTGAATACGTTAAGTGTTTGCTCACTAGAGGCACCTTTGGATGCAGTTGTAATTTGACTTGGTTTGCCCATACTGCGTTACACGCGAGGGAAAATGCAGCTGCAGTTTTGTTTTTGTCTTTGTCTTTGAGACTGACACGGCTTATTTCAGACGCCGCTGCTATTACAATCTTCCCCATGGGCTGAGAAAGAAATGTGTCAGACTATTGCAAATCTGTACAATTGGATGTTGTTCTGATTTAGCATGTTATACTCTTAACATCCCGTTGTCAAATAATAACAACGGTCATAACAGAGTGTGCTGTTAACAAGGGATGTGTCTTCATTTATCATCCTAGGTCATACACCACTCCACTGTGCTGTTCTGACCCACAATGCCATGCACCGGGAAGTACAGCACGACCTCACAATCTCGATGGAGACAGTTAAAGATGTGGAAAGCCATCTTGTAAAGGTCATGGACTGCATTAAGTTACTAGTTCAGGCAGGAGCCTGTGTTACAAGCCAGGTAGGATAACACAATTACTCAAAAAGATATGGTACTATCGCAATGACTATTGCTTTCTGCCACCTATTAGTGGTAGAGATAGGCACATTTCACCACATGAACCTAGGAAAGAGAATAACTATAACTGAGATTACACAGGACCACAAAGGCAGAAATCTGCATTTCTGCATTGCTACCAATAAACAAAAGGGCTTTCAAATTATTCACCTTTTCTGTTGCAGGACATAAAGAGCAATAAATCTGTTCTGCATCTGACTGTTCAAGAAGGGAATTATCGCCTGCTAAAGTTTTTCTTGGATCTCAGCATTGGAATGTCTGAAGATTTCATTAACATGAAGGTAATCCTGCTGTCAGGGTGTAAATGTAAGCTTTGATAAGCTTTCTCTGATGCCCACGTTTCGCCAGTGACATCAGGCTCCTCCAGTTTTATGGTAAATTTTACTTCGGTATTTTTTTTCTTCTTGGAATGAAGCCGACCTGTGTGTTTTAACTTGAAGGCAGCCTCCTGGTTCTTGGAGTCTACATGTTTTCCCTGTGCTCTCTTGGGGTTTTGCCAGGTCCTGTGCTTTCCGCCCTCCTCTCAAAGTTAGGGCTGTGGTTGACTGATCACTATCTGGGATTGGATAGAGAAATTGTTGAGGGGATTTGCTCCCAGTGCATCCAGTCTGGGCAATGCTAGATTATTGTGACATCATTCATCTGACATGCACTACACCAGTATTGTCCCCTTATGCTTTAGACACTTTTAGTGGCCTGGCACCACTCATTTGTCGCTGCAGTCTGACTGACCCCCTCTGGGCTCATAGATATGTTTATCCTCTTTTTGGCAAGACTGAGAAGATTTGTTTCGTCTCCTGATCCTCCCTGTTCTCTTCCATCTCCCAGCTCTTATCCTTTTGCTCTCCACCCTGTCCCTCGGGGGTAGTCTCTTGTGTTGTGTGTGGGGTGCACTCTGTCATTTTCTCCGTGAGGCCAATAGTGCTCTCTCACCTCACATTTTCTCCTCATCTAGGCACAGCGGGTGTGTTATGATTCACTCCCATCACGGCTTTAGCTCGTCTGCCTCTCCTTCATTCTTTTCCTCCAGATCTTCTTAATGATCTTTAGAACTACCTCTACCTCGCTCTGATCCACCTGCCTGTGATTAGGACACGGCATTCACTAGGATTTACTGTGTGGTTTGTGTGGTGAACTACAGTGAGATGATGCACTGTTGTCTGGTCAGGCAGTCCCTCCCTCCTTCATTCACAAACACTAGCTATCGGCACACTTCACCTCTCAGCCTGGCAAACAGTCTACCTATCTTTTCACTACTGGTAAATATTAATAAATTATTCTTACACTTATATAAGTGCTCTTCTGGATACTCCACTAAAAGTGCTTTACAGGTAATGGGGTCTCTCCTCCCCCACCTCCAGTGTGCAGCCCCACTTGGATGATGTGACAGCAGCCAGACTGCGCCAGTCCGCTCACCACACCCATGATAATGCGCTCTAATGCTCTCAGTTACTCAGGAGTATCGATAATTCCAAGGATGCCCAACCCAATAGTTCCTTTCCCTCCATTGAATGCAGCTCATTCTTCCAAGCACCCCGAACTCAAAACTGATGTGTGTCTAATTTACCACCTATTTCTGGTTGCTTTTAGCAGCCATCTTGGCTCAAGGGCACACACTACTGGGCTGAGCTGGAGCCAAGATGGTGGCTTCCAACAGAAGCCTCTTCTCACTCTGTCACACACTACCAGAGAAATAACATCAAGTGAGCATGATGGGCCTAATGGAGTCCTCCCATTTTCTGGCAATCTTATGTTAAGATCATGCATTGGAGTTGAATAAAGTAAAGGTTTGATCCAGAAACGTTCTATTTTCTCTTAATAATGCAAAGTGCAAGTGGCATTCTGGTACAGCAGTGTCGATAAATGACGCTAGATGTTTCCAAAAGCTTGGCAAAGATGTCCTTCCTTTTACGAACACAACTGTACGTGCATACTGTACATGGTAGGTCACCTCTACTTTTCTGGCAATCTTATGTTAAGATCATTCACTGGAGTTGAATAAAGTAAAGGTTTGATCCTGAAATGTTCTATTTTCTCCGAAAAATGCACAGTGCGAGTGGCAGCAGTCTTAATAAATGACGTTAGATGTTTTCAAAAGATTGACAAAGATCTTCTTCCTCTTAGGAACACAACCGTACGCGCATACATCTTCAGAGAGAAGTTGCCATGGTGATCCCCACGGCGCAGGGCCTCTTCATCCCTTCTGTATTCCGACCGTTTCAAGGGCTAATTTTCTGTGCCGCCAGGCTCACGGGAACAGCGCTCTCCACATGGCAGCCGGCCTGAGGAACGAGGTGTACCAGGAGGAGATCGTGAAGCTGCTGCTGTGCCACGGAGCCGAGCCCAGCATCCGTAACCTGGACAATGACCAGCCCATCCACCTGGTGCAGCCCGGGGAGGAGGGTGACCGGGTAGGCACTCGCGGCGGTTTGAGTGGGTTCTGATTAGTGGAACCCCACCAGCAAACCTCTCCTGAAAGCGCATGTACAGTATGGATTGGCTCAAGATAAAAACAGCTGAAAGCAGACGTAAGCTGGAAATATTCTTTAAGTTCTAGGTGTGCCTCCTCTTAGCTACGCTTGCAAATCGGGGAGCACACATTTCTCAGATCCTTGGCGATTGACTAAAATACATTTTCTGTTAATGGAGGGCAAACCGTTTCATGCCAGAATCACCAGCATTTGTATGCAGTGCACAGCACCAGTGGCAAAAGAATATAAGCGATGTTTCATGTGTTGTTGAACTGACCAGCAGATGATCAACTGCTATTTTCAACAGTCTGCACACACTCCGGATTAATCCAATGGACAACACGCCTATGCTTCCAAAGTTAACAGCAGAGCAAAAAACGAGCTGATCTATGTTTACCATTTGCCAAGGCTTTCTCTTCCAAGTTAGTATATTCTTAAAGAGCTGGCAGGGTTAAAGAATGCCAGGGAATTAAATTAAACAGGGATCAAAGTGAAGGACCAAAAGAAATACTGCCAATGTCATGTCATTTGGTTTGTACCAACATGCAACATTCCCACAGATTCCAAAAGGTGGTCAATGAGTTAATGAAAATGTAGGAAAATTAAATGCATATTGATGGGTTTATTTCTTCTGTAATAGTGTCTAGAATACTTTGTTTTCTTCTTCATGGAGTACGTCAGATGCTAACGGAGGCACCTGTGTCTCGGACTAATTGCACACGTTTTATGTTGCATAATATTAATTATGTATTTACAGATAAGGCAGCTGTTGAGAAGGGGGAAAACATTCCTGTCAGCCAGTCATCGGAGTTCAACATGCCAGGAAACCTGAAGAGATAACGATATTTTACTACTGAATAATCGACCCAGCAATCTTTAGCTATGATAAATTTGTACTTATCGTGAAAGTCTTGATGCGTAATAATACACCAATTTGTGATGTAAAGATTGAAACTGTTTGAAACCGATGTTGAACGATATTCTGTGGATTTTCTATTCCTGGTCTCAGAAGAAGACTAATTCTGAAATCTGTAGCATATGTGACATGTATAAGTTAATCTGAGACTGAAGAACTAATTAATAGTTTTTCAAAACATTACTGAAAAAACACTCTATTGGTTTCAGACAAGACATTTTTGGGACTAGGAGTTAGATTGCCTCAAAGGATGATAGAGTCTTTTAACTAGATTACATTAAAAAGTCATTTTTTTCTTCCAGTTCTCAATATTTGTGCCTAGAATTTAGCATCGTCATGTACAGATGCTTACATGGCTAGAAGCTAAAATAAAGCAGGACCAGTAGTCTTTAAAGTAGATTCCATACTTTAAAATGGTCACATCCTTTCATTTATAATCAAACTACATCGTCTTGGCTGTTGCAAGGTATTTTTTAGTTTTATATTCCTATTTATTATCAATGAATCAATTAGATCATCTGATATAGGTTTCACATTGAACAACTCAGTGACAACTCATTCATTTTGGTAAAAAGCTATTTGTTGAAGTCATGGAGAGATAAGTATAACTGAAGTATTTTGGGATGTTTTGGGAGAGATTCTGAAGTGATGCTGCTGAAACAATTGATTGTGCATATTTAGAAATGGTCCACACTGTGCCCTGGGATGTGGAAAATGTACACAGAACTGTATTTCACATGAAATAGTCAGATACCTTAGGGTTGAGATTCAAGATTTATTTGAAAACTAATCACAATACATTGAACAAAGACAGCCGGACTGAATGGTCAGTATTTCAAAACACGAGACAGTTCATGCAACAGGCAAGCAAGTTGAACTAACTGTAACAAGTAATCTTCACTTTACTGGGATTGAGAGGGGGATATGTGTTAGCAGTAAAAACTGAATGGCAGAACCGAATAATAAAAAAGTAACTAACCAATCAGATATATTCTGGGAAGAAAAGCATAAAGAGGATAGAAACCAAGTCAAAGTCCAGTGTATATAAGAATTAAACAAGATGTTGGTAAAAAGGAATTTTAATTTTCCAGTTAACACTTAGTTAAAGAACTTAAAAGGCCTTTGAATACTGAGGAATTAATTTAAAAATGTGCGATTATTGTGGATAGATATGTTTTTGCGAAACCCAGTGCTGATTACAACTTCTATGTTTTCATTAATTTATGCAACAAATATGGAACTTTCTGCTACCAAGATTCAGTTCCATTGTACCAAGGGTAGTCATAAATAGGTAGTCTAAAAATGTCTAGATCATCGCAAATCATTAGCCAAAGATTATTTTTTTTTGCAGTGAAAATGTACCTCTTTGCCAAAGTCTTTTTGTCTTGATGGGCTTACTCTCTCATGGTATATTCAGCTGCCAATATGATTGTGTGAAAATTCTGTCTACGTCTACCCCGCTAATGTTAGAGAGCACAGAGCGATTCATTTAATTGGCCAGTAGCATTATTCTTAGCTTTGTAGACAACACAGATGTTTTAATATTCCTTCCATATAATTGCATGAATTTATACACATAAAGATTTTCTTCCTGGTGATTCAGGTGTTTCGCAATAGTCCTTTGATTCCATGGATGATTCTTATGGAATGCTGACAGGCAAATCTCAGTTGCTCAAGCCCAGGTAATTAGGAGAGCAAATATGAACACAAACATCAAAGAGGCTTGTTCACAACACCTGTTGTTTGAAATCGTTCACTAGGAACGTTGTGAAAGTCAAGACAACAGGAGCAAATTGGAAATGTCAAGTATTCCTTTAGTCTTGTGTAGTGTTTAACAAGAGGACTCCTTTTGACAGCAGTATTATTCTCTTGCATTTTGAAACGTAATGTGCAATGAAAGCTATACTGTATTCATAACTGGAATTTCCTTTAGAGCAGTTCAATATTTAGTTTGGAATTGGAACAAACTGCTTTTCTTAGCATCCTGTTTCTATAATCGGACAAATCTTTCAGCAGCTTGGGGCACAGCCTCCTGAGACTACTGAGGGATGAAGCGGTTAGTTATCCGTTAGGATTTCTGTGAAATGAATTTGTTGATTGCCATGCAGTCATCTTTAATGTTTTAATTTTTTGGAAAGCTTACCGACAAGAAAATCCCGAAAGGCTCTTCAAACATTTGCAAACGTCCGAGGTAGAATGTATTGTTCTTGTTATTCTGTTTTTATGTCATATGGTGACACATGCTACTAACACTTTTAACTCTTGCTGTGCACTTTCTTGTTTCATTGATCAAGTAAGACAAGAGTTTGGCAAAAGCACACCATGTAGTAGTCTTGTATCTTTCTGGTAATTCTCCACCTCAATGGTTAATGTTCTCATCCTGCACATTTTGATGCTCGTTATGTTTGTAGCTTCCAAATGATCTCAGCGACTGTTCTATTTCATGGTGTAGACATTTTATTCACCACTCACACTGTGAAAAACTGAAATGGATTGTATTCTTGAATGTTTTAATGTTGCACAAGCCTAATAAATTAAATTCTCTTTATGTGAGTCATCTTTGTGTGCTGATCAGGTGTGGACAACAAATAACAGATGATCACACCTTAACTTAGATTATACATATAGGTTGTCCTGCTAAGACAATAGTTGATATGATTCTTTTTCTGCACCTCCTACATATCCCAAATTATTTTAGCATCGCCTTATAAGGAAGGACATTTGACAATTTTATTTGGAGACTGCAAACTGGCTTAGTGGAGTTTTAAATTACTTGGCCAGATCTTCAAGCCTTCACAGGCAAAAATGACATTTGCCACAAATCTTCATGTTATACAATGTGTTTTTGGCTTTTCTGTATATGTGATATGTAAGTGTTGATTTTGCTTTTGTTCTTGGTTTAACTGTTTCTCATAACAGATGTCTTATGTGAAAGAGTCCCATAGACATTCTTCCTTCTATAGGTGCCTTCTGGGCATTATGAAGAATGCATCCTAATTTACATTCCCACTTTCCTAATACCGGCCCTGTTGAGACTTCCTCTCTAATAATTTAAATAAGATATATACAGTCACCAAAGAACCTTCGATAGCACATAGACTTGAAAACCAACACTAGCAATTCTTGGTATTAGAGAAATGTTCAAGTAAGGTTTAAATATTTTTAATTAATGTACCTTATGGAAGAAAACAGGATTTGCTTTGTACCGGTTCATGCAGATTGCAGGTATTTTCTACCATGCTGTTGCTGTTTTTGTGCTTATGAAGTGCACAGGAACACCAAGCATAAATTAATTAAATGAATTAACAGTCTTGTACTTGAAATGACCATTACCTAGAAAATCTGCAGATTGTTTTCCACATTTTTATCAGACAAATAAGCAAAATGAGGGATTTTCACTTGACTTCCTTACTACTTCTCATACTAGGAATTCAATCTCAAAGACTTTCTGGGAACAGGGACATTATTTTTTTTCTTAAAACTAAAAAAACAACACATAAGTGAACCTTTGACTTGTTCATGATAAAGTGTGATTTTGACAAGTGCTGATCAGAGAGGATGAAGGAAGTAGTTTGCATGAAATTCAGAGAGTTCTGTTCTGTTTTATTTGGATGCAATTTTATTTTCTAACCGTATCCTCAGTTCAGCAGGATCTCTTAGATTGTTGCTAGTCAAAATAGGCCCCAGTGTTTGCGCATGGCTTTTCAGAGATATGAAGTTTCATTTTTGATTATGACTCCGTTATGTTTCTTGCACTTTATGCCGATTCCCATGGGCTTTAACACAAAAGTTGATATGAATGTAAAATCATGTAAAAACAGATGATCAACCCCTCTGTGGTGACTTCCCTTGTTCTTGGTATTTTTCCTTCTTTCCCAGACCCATGGTGCGTGGAATGAACATGCGGTGAAATTGTCTGTGAGTAACCTAGGACTTTGGCTTTCATTTCCTCTTGTTTCTTCCCACCAATGTAAAAACATTATTTCTCATTGTTTTGCCTTTTGATCTGGCAGTGACTTGAATTATTTGTTTACACCCTTTTCTCTGTACTGGCTCTGTGCCCGGTCTTTCCCAATTCCCAGTTATTTGCCTTTTGAGCAGGCAGTAGCAGCACTCAGCACTGTTAAGACTGCTGAAACACCTTTATTTTGAAACACTTTTCCCCACAAGTAATACTGCTTTCCTAAAATGACTTTGCTATGAAGCACTTTACCTATTGAATTGGGTATCCTCATTCCTGGTCCTGGAGAACTGGTGTATCTGTAGGTTTTTTAGGCATCTTTAAAGCACCATTACATAAAAAAACTGAGAGAAGTTGATAAATTGGTCCAATAAAGCCAATAGGATGCTGGCTCGTGTCATTAAGAGTCCATCTGGACTGGAAACCTGTAGTTCACTGGTTCCCAATTCTGGTTCTGGTGACTTGTTTTCATTCCAGCCATTAGATCACTGAAGCCTTACGTGATCTAAGGAGCTGCTTCAATTGAATATTTGCATGTTGTTTCTAATCACAAGTTTGGGATTTTATTTCACTTACAAAACACAATGGTTAAAAGCTGCAACGTGTTTAAGACTTGGGAACAAACAGTTCAAATTAATCATATTATTATTCAGTCAATGAAGGGTTTGATTGTGTTACTAAGGGCTGGTCTGGAACAAAACCCAATAGGTATGTGAGTCACCGGGACTAGGATTGGGAATCACTGCAGCAGACGTACTATCCAACACAAGGATTAGGGACCCCCTGTCGTATATAGTACCGCTCCTCTGAAATTCGTTAACAGTGAAACACTGTTGCCCACAACCAATACTGTTCAAGTTAAGGTGAAACAGCGATTTGTTTGCTCATCACCAATCATAAACTAAAAAAATCAATTGTTCTAATTCCTATCCTGTTGGTTTACTAGGTGGGTGCTGATGGCAGACATCTCTGCAATATCCTGCTGTCACCGATGTCCTGATACACTGACCATGTGAACCACAGGCATTTTGAAAGACATTTTCATCCTAAAGCTTAAGGACATGTGAGGACATGTTATTGGGAAAATGCACTCCTCCCCTACAGATTATTTTTTCCTTAAGTGAGGGGAAATCCAAGCAAAGAATCTCTCAGGCAAACCACTAAAAACACAACATGTCACCTTGAGCAAACACTTAAGGGCAATCAATGGTAATATTGACATAATTTAAGGTTGTTGTCAAAGGCACCTGTTCCACAGATAGAATCTCACCTCACAACTAAAGAAAGGTAGAAATATATAAGGTTTGCTGAGTCATCTGATGCCCACTCCTTTGCTTCTTCAAACTTAGTCTGCCATACTCACGTCTGTGGGGTTTGAGAAATTAAGCCGGAGGTGGAGACAGTGAATATGAAATCTAGGGGGAAAGGCGGGGGAAATGGGAAATTACCTGGCAAAAGCAGCTCACTGCACCTGCTAGTCCAAAATCATTTCCTTGTGACTGTGCAGCTTGAGCAGCGGCCTTTTGAATGGGACATTCTACTGAGCTTCAGTGCACTGTTTAGTTATTAAGGCTACCACTGTGCATTGCTGAGAAAGCCTGGGTGTAATTTAGCTGGAACACTCTGCCCCAGAGTTGGTTTCAGTTAAGACTGCAGTTATTACCTTTTTTGGAGGGTATTAATTCAGTGCAGCTATAGTTTAAATTTTTCATGATCCTTTAAGATGATACCATTAGGCATTCGTGTGAAATGGCATTTTGTCCTTCAAAGCAACAGTAGTTTGTTTTATTCTCCTTCCACTAATACCTTCAGTCAAGAATTAGGTTAAATATTTACTGCAATAGCAATTACCCTGTGTTGAATGCATACCCATATTTCGGTATCCCAAAATATCAAGGCTGTTCCAGAACCAGAGTGGAAATGTACAGTATTGGTCTCCTTTGATATGAGAATATTATGTTAACATCCTTGATAAATGACCTTTCTTTTAAGCTCCCTTTTTCATACAAAATCATGCAGAACTTACAAGACTGAGAGTACGCTCTGAACAGACTCGTCTTACTGTTGCGCGTTACTGTTATGCACAACCTTCTGAATGTCTGCTTACGTACTGTTCGAACACATACTAGCTGTGCACTCGAAATATATTTTAAGGGAAAAGCAAATTTGTAACGTATTGGTAACCAACAAGTAGGCATATTGTAAATCCTTCTTTGGCGTTTTATTCCCAAAAAAAACTTGCTGGTACTTCGACGCCTTTAGGAAACGGGACTCTGGCGTTTACGCAAAAACGCGTTTTTGGTTCATAGGTGGTATCTGAAGATAACAGCTACCTGCCTGTAATTATATATTAGGGGGTCTTAGAGAAGAAGCCTTCTTCTTCCGTTTTTTTATGTGGAAAGAAAAGTATTTTCCTTGCATGTCTGCAGGTAGGTCACAGTCAGCTGTCTCGGCAAACGGAGCAAGCGCTCCCTGTCAGCTCTTAGAAAGTGGTAGAAGGTTTGTAATTAGTCTCGGCCCTGTACCAATTATCCAGAACTCCCCTCATTCAGGAGTTTGATGACTGTAACCAATTGGACTGGACTTCAGCAGAAAAAAGGGTAATTGTGGGAGTGTTTGATACATTGTTTTTCCCGCCTGTGCCTGTATATAAATTGTCTGTTAAGAACGTTGTAGTCAGAAATAATGGAGGCAAATTTCCATTAGTAAAAGAGGAGGAACTACAGTACATGAAGTTGCATTTGTTGAAAGTATTGGAAATTCTAGTTTAACGAGGGTATTTTCAGAACCAAGGCCTGAACTAAACAGATCAGGTACAGACACCAGCTAGCACTGGTGATTAAGGCACCAGCTGGACCACAATCACAGCAGACAGAAATCTGTCGGGTCCAGGCTTGTAAAACACTGCTATAGACCTCCTGAAACAGATTTGTTTTCCATTTTTACCCTTTCTCATCCGTGCTTTCAGAAGGAAAGGGGTGTCTTCTCGTAACTTGAATACAGTTGTTTGGCAAAACAAGTATATACAAACGTTCGAAAATACTACTATCCACTCAGTATGTGAAAAAGACTTGTCCAATTATTAAGTAAAATGAAGCGCATTGCGAGTGCACGTTTGAAATGCTGTAGGATTTGATCTGTATCCCCCACATTTAAGTGAAGATACTGTAGTGTTTGTGTAACCAAAGTCCAAATCCTTCCATTAGTACCCCTTTACTCGCTCACACTTCGATACCATGGAGAAGCGAGGTTTTTTTTTGCGTAAAAACGCGTCTAAAGAGCCAAAGCACACCAGGGATTTGACATTTCTGAATGTTATCTCCTTTAACGAAGCACAGATTTGTAACGATCTGGTGAAGGGAACATCTGAATGTTACCTTTTGCCTTGCACAAGGTACACTACTACGTGGTAGTCTCGGTCATAGGAATGATAAGCAAACGCATTTTACGAAATAGATTTTTTTATTCATTAAAAAAAGATATTTAAAATTTGTTCGAACCTGAAAATATATAGAATTGTGATTTGCATTTTAAGAAAACAAGTCACCTTCTTCACAGACCGCAATACAATTCACTCCATTCCACGACATTTCCCTTGCATTCCACATTCATTCTCTCCAGGTACAGGTGGAGGGTACTTAGTGCACACAGATCTAAGAGGGTCTTTCATTTCGCAGAACACCGCACAAACACTGGTATTCCGAAAAGAACACTTGGCAAAGGCGAAGCATATTTACATGCCAAGAATACTTTTAAAGGTAACACATATCCAGGCTGGCTAAATCCCTTCTGATATAGTTCTCCTCTGTCACGGTTGAAGGATACAGGCAGTCTGAGGGAGGGTAGGGAACGTATTCGGGATTTCTCGTGTTGTCATAGGAACCAGAAAAATGCGACAAACAGTAGCAGTACTGAAGGCTGCAGTGCTGGTAATGATGATCTTCCGGGATAGAGCTGTATACAGAGTCCATGCGAGTGGGAGAGCTGTAACATGACGAAGACGAGGAATAACACTGAGGTGGCGAGTAGCCGCTGTAATCAACTGGGCTCGGGAGATTGGACGAATCACACGGAGAGCTTGGAGCCTTAAAAAACAAACAGGACAGACACTGTCAGAGCTCTGGAGATCCATTCGGTTCGACTGTTTTAGAATAGCACGCCTCAGTGCGAGGTGGCAATCACGACATGGGCTCGTCCTTTGAAAGCCTACATTTTGCGGTTGCAAATGTAAGTTGTACTACAAGAAAGCAGGAAAAGTGTTATTTATCGCATATCGGAGCTAGAGCTAGACCCAGACCATGCAATTAATTATAGCAAAATTTTGAATTTGTATTTAAATATCGGCGAGTCCTGTACTGCGTGTAACAGCATCCAGAACTGCCATATTAATATTATTATTGATTTGCAGTACACCGTGTCCTGTCGTCTGTTCTTGAACAATGTCTGTATTTATCTCGTCACAGTTTACAGAATAGTCTTTGAAACGATCTCTTTTCACTTGCTGCCTAAAATCCCACTGTACCTTTTCAATAAGGAAATAATGCAACGCATCAATACACGAATGGCTACAATTAATATAATCTACAGACAACTGCTTCTGTGTACTCTTAAGTAAATAGCAGCCTAACTACTGTTACACCACGTACGCTCATTAAGTCGTTATTGTTTAGTTTCAAAATGTTCAACTGGATATAAATTTGATTTCGGTTTGTCTGGTATAAAACGAAACAATGTACATTAAACATATACATTGCAATCGTACTGTGTTGTGTTAATCGTCCAATAATTCTGATCCCAGTTCTAATTCCACTGGTTCTCCCCCACTTGTTCTACAATGACTTTCAGCGCCAATGTGGTCCTTACCATTCCCAGACTGTAAAGGTCAGATCCTGGATGAAAGGTCCCAGAAGGGGCGTGCTGGGTAGAGGAAGCCGGTGGCAGGACGTTACTGGTGAAATTGTCACTCTGAAGAATCATGTCAATAAGCTGTTGATTTTCATAAGCACTGGGTATCATCTGGTCGTAGCAAATGTTGTCCGTGTACTGTCTAAATTGGAAATGGTTGTTTTCAGCCACCGAGCTTGCTGGGCTATAGTCAAAATAAGGGGCTTAAGAAAAAAAAGGGAGAAAAAAGAGACATTTAAATGAGTCAGGGCTTCGGGGGGTGATGTCATGAGAGCATCAGCCAACAGATAAATCACATTTAAATGCAACTTTATAAAGAGGGCTGAATGAACGTCAAAGAAAGGAGTATATTACCAATTGTTTCTTTTTCCTCCAATTAAGTCTTAACGTTGTGCCTGACGGTGGTTGACACTTAATGTAAGTTTAAGCCTGGATGTAAAGCCTCGCCTAATTTATGCTGATGTTACTGTTCTATCTGAAGTTGTTCTATGCTTAATTTTAACAAAGAGTTAATGCAAAATCTTTATGAAGGAAAATTGTTAATACTGTGTTACTTTCTGAACTATTTGTTTGCTGTCCATCAGTGAACGTATTTCTTTAGGTTGCAATTTTTAATACAGTATTTAGCAATCCATAATGCAGTATCTTTACCAAGGGCAATACTCAAATTTAGTGACTGCAAAACTGTAGCTTTGTTGATGAATTCTGACTTGTTATCTCTGATCCTTATGTCTGAAAACGTAATTTCCCTTTTGATGTATTACTTGCTCACGAAATGTTAAAATGTCAAAAAGATTGCATATTAAAACACTGGAATCCTGTTTATTTCTATTCGTTTAAATCTCATTGTTGTTGTTTTTTTTTTTTATTCTTAACGGAAAGTTTTACTAAAATGTCAGTCTGACATTTTACATTTTGCTTGATGGCGATTTTGCATTTTGCATCTTGATGGCGAGTTAAAGAGTCTCCTTACGACTTGTTTTAGCAAAACAAGCAAAGTAAAGGAGAAACTGTGCTGCTTTTAGAAGAAAGCGATTGTCTGTATAGCGGATTGCAAATGCCACCAATCTGAAAAACAAATAGCTGTATATAAACAGTCTTCTTGGAGTGGAGTATCTAATTTCAATATGAATCGGTAAACTGAAGTAGTCGGTATGTGCTTCTAGCTTGAGTCGTTATAAATCATTTTTACCTACCAGGAAAGGATGTGGAACATGCTTCTGGATACTGCGCGTTGTGATTCTGGGATATATATAAAAAAGAAAAGAGAAAATACTCAGTAAGCCGAAAAGGTCTCACAGAATTAAAAGCCTCAGTCCGATAACGGTGCGTTTTATTTTTCGTCCGGGTAAGTATTTTTCAAGCCATTTTCACTCTATATATCTCACTAAATAAAAACGCGGGTCGAATATACCGTTTGAAAGCGGAATTTAAAAATGCGGAAAGCCTACAATACAACGGTTCAGATGAACCGTTTTTTCCCTTGTTGGAACCATGCCACATCTGCTGCAGTGCCTTAAGTCATTGGAGATATTTCATTATTTTTTATTATTTGCTTGCATAGTTATTTGATTAGTCATGTCTCCTCCCTCCATTTATTCCCTGGAAAATCGTATGGGAGTATTTTTATAACTCCTAAGGCTATTATAAACCATTGCAACAGTGCTTTTTATTTAACAGTATACAATACATATGCGTGGTACGCAGCTGTTAACATTTACTCTTTATAAACAGTCTTAAACGGTTTATCCGTTAGATGAGAAATTGGGATTTCGCAGTACAGAGTCTCCAGAGTCTAATTGCACATTTGTTCAAATTAATTAGTTAATTGGGATTGTGCGGCGCTTTTCATGTCAAATAATCCAAAAATGTCAAACTGCAACAATATTGTCGAACTTTTCTGGACAGGATTTATTCATTCAGACAGCACATTGGTTACCTAAAGTGAAGAAGAAACTGCGCTGTTTGCGGCTCATAATGTGCCTTATTCATGACATTAAACTTAATCATACCAACTTTTCCTGTTACAGTAAAACTGGTAATATGTTTCTTCTGTCCTAAAACTGAAGCTCACCAAACCTTTCACTAAAATGAAAATGTTAGGACGTCTTTCATGCATCACACAATCCTTTAAACGAAATGCACTTGGCTTAAATAAACCAAGCAAAAGGCGTGTCCTGGTGTCATGGTGTACGACGCTGTCACGTCATGCTGAAACCTGAGTTAGTGTATGTGCAGATTATAACATACGCGTCCGGGCATATTATTTTCACCCAGTGCTGGAGTTTAGTCTGCGCTTGTGTGGGTTTAAGAGGAAGTGGTGGATCCGGCCCATTAAAACAAAGGGCTCATTGTACAAATCAAACATTACAGATAATCAAATAGTATTTCGTAGAAAAGCCTAAACATTTCCTCTGTTAACATGTTAAAGGCTACCAAGGCTTTATCCTAACGTCTGTATTCAAGTCTAAACGTTATAATGCGATTCAGTCTTTCCCCAATACACGGAAACAGACATTTTTATTTACTGTCTTTTGACCGCTTTTCCAGCTGCTGTAGCCAGTTGTGATCGTAGGAGTGTTGATCTTTGATTGTAGGAGCGTGGCTTCCGTGGTACAATGTCAAGGTTACGTTGTGCTAAAGCCCTTAAACCGGAATGACCTGGAAGTTTCCATATTGGAGTGCATGCGGTATCCGAATTAATGATAATAATATTGCTTGGACCTGATCGTTTTCGGACTGCATGGTGACTTTGCGGTCGAGTTCAGATAGGGACTGGAGCGCCATTTGTGCAGTTTTGACTGTCTGTCCTCTGTGTGCACGTGGGGCTCCGGTTTCTGTCCACCATTAGGAACAAAAAAAAACATTCTTCCAAAGTTAAACGGAGTCTCAAAATTGTCCCCCTGTGCTTGCCTGTGTATATGTGCCTTTATAAGGACTCGCGTCTCGTCCAGGACGCGGTCTGCCAGTTTATGTTCGGCCCTGGACAGGGAAAAGGGATTTGGGGGACAAGGGACGGGAGGAAAGTGTTTCACTCTTGCCGTGCCATGCTTCTTACCGTGGCTGCTTTTGTTGCCGCTTGAAGCGCCCTTCGCTGTTGAAGTAACTCTTTCACCGTTGTCTTCACTCGGACACCCTGGTATACCTTCGGCTTATCTGTAAAATGCACCAATATATTCCAGTATTATGAAATTGTATGTGATTTTGAAGCGAAGGACCCCCCTTTTTTTCTAAAGACGTTCCCGGTACCCGAGGTTTGAATTGCGTAATTACGCAATCATCGCATCTCCCAATTTCATCCGCGCAATGATGCTATTGGACGACGTCCAACCTCAGAGCTACCTTAAATTTTGAATTTCATCAAGAATGTGTCCAATATTTGTATATGGTTACCTAAAAGCACACCCTTTTCTTAAAGAACAAAGTTCATTTAATAAAAGCTTTACAACCGGTTTGAAACAATCTGTCAGCTCTTTCCAGTGCGTTTCATCATGTGGGTGTATAACGAAATGTATATTTAGACTGATTCATCTAATATCTTTTTGTAGACGAACTGAGACATATATATATATACAAATGTTCTCTTTAAAACTGAAACCGTAATATACTTATTTTACTCGAAATACATCAATGCGTGAACGAAAAAGTGTGACTATTTGGTCACTGATCTGGTGGAATAATAAAATCCACGAATGTATTCTGAATTTTATCTTCCATGATAATTCAGTTTGTTTGTACTCTCCTTCTTTTAATGCAGATCGGTCTGTTTAATTCTGAGAGCTCCTCATATTGGTTAAGTTTCCAAAGTCAACTGCAAACAATACAGTCATACATTCATTATTATGATTTTTATTTTTAAAAAAATAGTCATTCTCGGTTGTTCTTACGTCTGATCACGCCGCTTCGATGCAAAACTCTGCAGGGAATAGAGCGACTGGAGTCCGACTAAAGAAAGGCTCAGGGTTTCAGATTACAGTAGTAAAGCAGACACTGGAGAAAAGCATTTACACTGAACAGCCATTACCGGCTCGAGTGAAGCCATTTTAAAATAAATAAGGAAACTGTGTGAAATTCCGATAAATGCGTTGTGTTAAAGAAGTTTGGATTGGGCGATTCAAAGTATATTGACATTATTAGGTGGTTTGTTCGAATCAGAAAGATGATATTCCCACAGATTAGAAGTAAAAAAAAAAGAGAAAAAAGTTTCAAGTAAGACAACGAAACTTTCGGAATTGAACTCTAATGCTCCGTGGAAATGTGAAAGGTCGCAGATTTAGCGAATCCAGATTCTGAGATTCTTCTTATATGCGAAGTAAGTAACTTTTAAATCCGTTGGGAAGGTTTTGTGATTACGAAATACCTTTTTCTCGCTGATTTTAACAATTCGTGAAGATGAAACAGTATTTTCCTACCGCATGAAACGCGATTGCAGTATTGTTGTTAATTGCCAATTATAATCGATTTGTATCACTCTGTCCACTTTTATTATTATTTACTGAGGTGTCGCGTTAATTTAGTGCTATGTGAAGATTATTCTTTTGATTATTGTTTGAATTATGCACATGTTGAAATGCATAAAAGCAACGAAAAAGTTGCCTAAAGTTAGACGCCACTCATGTTTTATTATGAAGCCTTAAACCCGGCTTAAACAGATCTAAAAAAAACAGCTCACGCTATAAACTAATATGGCGAAGTTGGTAAGACGCTGAGAAAATCTGTAAATGCGCACGTCTTAAGAAAACGCCACGCATTGGCTAAAACATAAAAAGCTCGTTCGTGCACGCTTCATACATGTTCTGGAGCAACAATTTCACCTGTAAAGTCTACTACATAGTCAGAGAAATGATTCCGAAGGAAACGTGCGAAAGTAAAAAAAAATGCCAGACCCATCCTGATAAATATTCATGTATTAAGATCCAAGCTCATTTTTGGTATTAAATGTGGCAAATCGTGCAGCACGGGAAAGATACGCCCTGCTTTAACCTCTACAATTATTTAATGATCTTTTGTCCAGCGTATCACCACTTTCTTGATCGGAAAAAGCGAAATGTAGCAAATATAAAGCACAGAAGCTCAAACTGTACACGAAACGTGTCTGAAAATGCGGTTTTCTGACCCATGCGCCCGTTTCCCACCCTTTACACCTACAGTAAAGGTGCAGAAGAAATAGTATTAGAGCATCTAATAAAACTACTAAGAAATGTTTTGAAACTTCAAGGTCAGACATTTCGCCTCACCTGTAACCTGCAACCTGTAACTATTGTAAACGTAACATGAAGTCCCGCAGCTTAGTGCAGCCGTAATGAAAGTATGTTAATTTAGGATTGCTCATGCTTTACACTGTTAAATTGTGCTACAGATATATTTTTCATTTGAAGGCAGAGTCGTGAAAGTGTCTAATCGTCCTGCTTCCCTGTGCATTGACATAATGCTGTTAACTGCTGTTAACGTTGTATCTCTAAACCTCGATTCTTCTTCTTTTTTTGGCTGTTTTTCAGATGAAAGAATAAAAATGGATAAACTGGAGAAACATCCCGAGACATGAAAATGAAAATAAACTCACCAGACATATTGGAAGAAAAAAGAAGTCTCAAAACTCTTCAAGAAGTGCTGCTTTCAAAGGCTTCTCCCTCACGTTTTTCTTGGTACACTTATATGGGCAAGAACAAAATATTTCTAAAAGCTACACAAAGTCTTAATATAAAAGTCTCAATTCAAGCTAAGGACACACAATAATATTGTAATATAGCTAGGGATATATTAGTTTGAGATTTTCTCTTCCCATGCCTACTATTTAAAACCTCTAGAACCCAATGATTTGACAATCAATGATTGCGCGATACTTTCAATTTGAATATTCAAAGCCTTCACAAAAAGAGGGATCTTTTGGTTATACACTTAGCATCAATACCTCAAATAGGGTCCCTTTTAATAGGATTTAATGAAAATTCACCCCGCAGACCCAAGACAAGGTAATAATTTAATAAATTTATCAACCTTTTGATAATAGGTGCATGAAGTCCCCGGAGAAGTACCACTATTTCAAAGTGAAAGACAGGGGTCGTGTCCGACTGGCTCCAAACTTTACGCACGACACCTCTGAATGATTTCCTAATGGAATATGACATTTAGGGGTCCATATTTCACAGCTTTAGCATAATTTTACACATTATTTAATAAAACATGGAAGTTGTGGGCGTGGCATGAGGGAGCAGCCATGATCGTCATCACTAGCTCGTGCAGCATCCTCTTTAAGTTTCTGCCTTAGCTCCCAGATCACCACTGTCTGCCTCAAAGGCTGGCTTATTGCAAAACAAATAACACCATATTAATTTAGGAATATTTAATTTGAATTAATTTCAAGTAGCCAGCACCCTTTCCTTTTCTGTCTTTAATCATTCTACTCTGTTTATACGTGTTCTCCACAGGTGCACTGACACACCGAAATGTACTCTGCAGGTCCTCAGATGAAAACTGGATCACCGGACCAACAATGTGTACCATCAGGGTTTACAATAAATAAATAAAACATTTATATCTGTATGTCATATATTTATACTAACACACATTAAATGCATTTGCTTTGTGAACCAGCAAATCGAAAACCCCGCTTAAGAACTCCTGACATTTAAGCATTCCAATGTGCGTGTACATATTGCAATAAACTACTCCACTACGGCTTTTATACTGAGTCTCAGTTGTGTCACGAAAATAGATAATATTTCAATTAAACCATGAAGGTTTTAATTTACCAGGTGCTACGAATTTGAGGGTGCTGTATTTAATTGATGTTCAAAATTAAATGTTTGCTGGATGTTTTAGATGTGTACACTAGTGTTATTAAGTTTTTCCTAAATTAAAGATTGAAAGTTACTAGTTTCTTTAAATAGCATCTACTGGCTATATGCCTCTTGGATCTTTTTCTTACAGACTAGTTTTTTTACAAAAAAAAATATACCATAGTCCTTTTTAGTTTTTATTTCACAGCAACCAAGGGCACAGTGATATTAGATTAATGCTACATACACCCGTCTCATTTCTCACCCCCACGACTCAATAATGCGTCAAGGGGTCTTCATTAAAGTAAAATAGGCATAATTTAGGCATTTAAATGAGAAGAAACGCCTTGTGATGTGAAGTGAACTTGATCATCATCGCCAGCCAATTAAACGACAACAAAGTTGCAGAGCAAAAAAAGGGACAATTAAACATTAACTTTCTGAAATCTAAATTTCCGACTCCCTCCAATTTTCTTCGAGATTTCTCTGAAATTTGTGTGAGATTAAATAAAGGACAAAATAGAGTGAACAATCCAATAGCGTGCTAATGTATATGGTGCAGGTAATACTCCGTTCCCCCCAAAAGCAGTGAATTGAAAAACAGTAACAGGAGTTCAGCTTGAAAAAGTGTTGCAATCTAAGACGAAAATGGGTGTTTTCTTTAAACAGTTCTATTAAAAATTGAGTTTTTTCGGATAGAGACAATGTCTAAATGATCTTCAAACAACTGATAATTAGTTTTAAAGAAATAAGGTTTAAAACGCTGTAAAACGTGTACAACATAGATATATATATATATTTATTGGTACACTGCAGTGTAACCTACTCTAATACAAAGGAAGCATAGACAGATCCCAGAAAAGACTGAAACAACCCCAGGGAGTTCTTTTTACAGATCATTACATGCAGTAAATGCGACATTACCGATAGGAAGCGCACTGCTATAATTCATAAAAAAAACGAGATCTTCGTGTAAATTAAAGAAGCCAAGGTAAAACTTCGAAGACGAAATACTGTAAATATCCTTCTGAGTTAACGTCGCCATCTAGCGTGTCGTCCAAACAGCACACTAAACCAGTATTACTGCACTTTTGTGAAGCACAGAGTCCTCCCACGAAGACTTGTCTCAAGCGACCCACAAGTATTGGTTGTAAATACCTTATATATCGAGCTGTGTTTTTCTAGAATTTTTAAAGTAAAATCCTACACAGCTCTATTCACCAGGGGGATGAATTGATGTTAGGATTTCAATAATGATGACTCACTTGTTGATACTGTTTTACTTTATTTTACTTTTTGTTGACACCACATTTTCCTTTATTTTTGATGACTATTATTGTGTCTCTGTACAGCCATAATAAGAGGTCTGGCCATCATTTCGTCGGAATGAAAAATGCCAAACCATGTCTCAACCCCCCCAGAAATATTGAACTTTTTCAAGCGGCCGAGGTAGTGTGAGTTTGAACCAGAATGAACCGTAAAGGAGAGTTGCAGGAGCTGTATAGAAGTAAAGACGAGCCTGAAAAGAAATAATGACTACCCAGGGGCGACAGAGGATTCAGTCGATCCAGGTCAAGTATTTATCCTTGGGCAAAAGCGAGACAAATCCCAAGTTTCACTGTCGATTTTGTCATTCATCTCTCTGCATCGTATCGACAGTTTTCCAGGAAACATCCCTTTCACCAGGCTTGCAATTCATTATATTCCTTCAGCTGTTCTTTTAAAATCCAGGTGGGGCTGCACACTGGTGGTGGTGGTGGAGGGGATCCCCATTACCCGTAAAGCGCTTTGAGTGGAGTGTCCAGAAAAAGCGCTATATAAGTGTAAGCAATTATTATTATTATCATTAACATGATTTTACAACGTGTTTTCTTTCTTCTTATGTTCGATGAAAACATGTGGGCTACCGCTTTCTAGTCGTTGAATTAAACAAAAAGCTTGGGGGTAAATCTATCGTGGTCTTCAAGGTGAATATCTTTAAACGGTTTCCTTTCATTCTCTGCTGATTCCACATTCCTCCCGTGTCTTTCTAATTACCTTAAGCTTTGTTTCATTTCGGTATAATCGGCTACCGATCTACCTGGGAAGGAGCAAATAATAGTTTTATTCCACGCTGAAAAGAGAAGAGAGAAAACACAACGTTTCAGGTGCGAGAATTAGGGCAACTTACTACCTATCTGCATGTACAGCTTCAGGTATGTGATTAGTGTTATATGAAAACAATTATCTTGATGTAGAGTATTACGTTTTTGCGCACAAGTGACCATGGTTAAAGGTAGTTTTACGTCCATTCTTAATACTGGGTTCAGAAGGCTTGCTGTTTCGTTGTTGACACTTCATCCAAGAGTATCTGTAAATTTGAATCTGGATTTGCACACCTAGGGTTACCGGTAGTGGTAAATGTGAAGTCACTTCAACATATCCTTTCTCTTAAAAAACCTCCAGCAATGTATTTATACAAATAAGCAGCGCGCATGGACCAGACAAAACATAGTTTAAAAAGAAAACTTCCCTACAGCCATCACGAACGTTTTCTATGATAATGCTGGGGAAATGTCGCAACACGATCCGTTTTTTTTTTCCATTCTGAAGATGAAGCACATCTCGGCTCGTCTTTGGCCGTCTTAGGCCTCCGAGGTGCGAAAACGCAGAGGTTGCAGCGAAAGTGGCGATGTCGGTCTCCTTGGGTACCAGAAACAGATGTTCGCCATTCATACATTTCGTGTTCGTACTAGAAAAGTGCATATTTTTCTAAATTGCTGTTGCCAGTATTTTCTTTGCCAATCTTTGAGGGGAAAAATGCGCCAGATCTTGAAATCGGTGAACGAAACCGTCTGGCACCTACGACCGACTTGAATTTCTACATCACAGAATAGCTAAAAATCAGAGCAAAGAGACAAAAGCGCTGTTAAGGGCAGGTGCCCTTTTCCCCCCCTTTCTTAGTAATGACGGTAATTGAGTTTTGCTTTTGCTAGTGAGGTCGTGTTAGTAAATCCTAGTAATCTGACAGAGATGCTCAGTTGTACAATATACTGTATACACAGTAGAATGTCAAACGTTTATATATAATCGGCACGTATTAATGCATCTCAAGTTTAGTATCTTTTGTTGGAAGGTCTGTTACTGCATATAAAACAATAATACTGGGAAAGAAAATAGATTGCACCACCTTGATCAAGAGTACATTTTTCTTTCACTTTTTTTTAAAAAGGAGCATTATTCCAAATAAACTGCAGAGGATGTGCAGTGTGACACCCACTGTCTAAACTCAATTAATTATCCCTGGAGTTAATTAAGTAGGCAAATTCATCTTCATCTGTGGCTTTCTGGACTGATTCCATGTCCGATACACTGAGGAATGATGATGTTTTCATTAATTAACTTGTTCTGTAAACCATATTAAGAAAGCTGGACCGATCATTGAGTGGCATTGTGTCAGAAGAAGGAGAGTGTGGTTGGTCTGTGTGGTTGGTCACACGTTTTTTACCCCGATGATGGTGTTGCAGTGTCATGTCTTTGTTTTCTGCTCAGCAGTCCCACAAGAGGTTTCATACCTGACATTCACTAGAATGTTGTTTTATGGAGCACACTTAATGTAATGCAATGTCGTATTATAGGGGTTGATATGTCTAGGTGGCTGAGAGAAATATAATCTTCATCCTCTAAAGGAGGAGATACAACTCCACCCTTACCAACTCTTAAACCCTCCCAAATCCCACTGGATCCCCCTCCCCAGCCCAAAGTTGCCTCATGCCCTAGACTGTACATGGCAGAGTTCCTTTGTTTTACATTCTCCGGAACACCAGGCTATCTCAAGAGGGGAGAAAACGCTAACAGTCCTGTTGAAAAGCAAAGTAGACAACATTAATGCAGTTAATTGATGACATCAGTTGTACAGTAGGTCTCATTTTGTACTCGGAATAAGTATCGTCTTTAGAATGCACACATTGCAAGGTCTCAGCACAAAAGACAGTTCAAGCAAACTTGGTGCACATTCTTCATAAAGAAAGGCATTAGCTCACTGGTTTGTTCGGAAACCTACATGTTTGAAGGGGAAAAGTGATCAAATGCAATTCAAACAGCTGTCAAGAAAAAAGCAACAAATGGAAATAATATTAGGTGTGTACACACATAGATCAGTCAAGGCAAGTAAGAGAAACTTTCATCTGTTCAGAAGATTTCAGCTGTGTGTTAGACTGAATGAGTGTTCAGTGAGCATAGCAGAGGTACCACTGACAGCTCTTTGTACTCTGGTAACTGTATTTATTACATCTCATGATACTTAAAGTGAAGGATTTCCAATTAGGCACTGTAGGCCTAGGGCCTACAACATTTTTAAGGCCTACAAAAAACGAACTGAAACCACATGCTTGTGATCGACTCTAGGTGCTCCAAATCAATAATCATACGCTTATCTAGCAGCTGTTCTAGAAACTAGAAGTATGAGGCTCGACTTGCTCTACCAATCACGTGGTTTAGCATTCGAACAGTTTAAAGTGCATCATGTCAGATTGACATAATCCAATTGGCGTCGACCCCCTCTTTCTGCTCATTTCAGAGTGAAAGTGCCTAGGGCCTACTAACACCAAAATCTGGCCCTGCTTGATGGAGTTTATGATGAAAGTTCGAGGGGGATGACAACAACCACAATCAATCAGACTCTGCTGGCAGTAACTCACAATCACTCCTGATGTCATCTTCTCGCCTAAAACACTATAAATACCGTACGTGATCTCCTTCTCTCCCTGGTGTACGTCTTCTGCACTCCTCCTCCACCCCATCTCCCCCTCTGCAGCTGCCCCTTGGTCACTCCTCACTCTGCAGGGGGTCCCGACCTCCTCGTCCTCTGGCCAGGAGGTCAGCCCTCAGCCAAGCGGCTTAAGACAAGTGTTGACTAAAGTACTCCATAATCCTTTCAATATACTCACCTCTTGGGTGTTGTTACTCCTCGTTAGTTGTATTTAATACATTTGTCAATGAAATAAGTATGACAAATGTATTAACAGATGTGCCCCCCCTTAATATGAATGTTTTGGGACACACAGACAAGTCGCTCAAATGCTTGCAATAACTATATACGATATAATCATGTCGCTCAAACGTTTTACTGGAAAGAAATGTGGATTTCTGTGTACAGTTACTGTAATATGTCACTAAAGACACTGCTGTTTTGCATTTAATTATCGTAATCTAGTCTTGTTCCTAGGTTTCAAAGGACGAAACCAAATATTTATTTTTGTCTGCCATCACAGGAGGTAATTGGAGTCATGAATCTTAAACGTGATGACATTTTTAGCACTGCTGTACTAGAACATTTTCGTTAAGATCAAGAGATTAAGCATAGTACCCCCAGAGAAAAAATACAGACCTGCTTTATGACATTAATGGGGTGAGTGAAAACTAGAGATGCAGAGAATTACGTTTGAACGTTTGGTTTTGTACTTTCAAGTATAATATTTAATGTTTGCCTGAGATGAGTTCAGGTTCTTTTCTCTCAGCCATGCTTTGAATTGGTAAGAACCATTACTTGAAGAGTGCAGTTTAATGTGCCGCTGCCTGAAACACGTTTTTAACCCTACAAAGAATTGTGCTTTAAACTCAGATCTTACAAAATCAACGGAGTCTCCAAACTGATCTTTTTTTTGGCCTAAAGACCCCAGGGCCTTTCAGGGAATAACTCTGGTCCTCACAGGAATGTTTAAGAATGTTTATTCCCTTTTTATCTTCACTAAAACTTTCAAGAGAATAAACCAGCAGCTTGCAGCAGCTCTGGACACTCCACTCAAAGCGCTTTACAGGTAATGGGGATCCCCTCCACCACCCCCACCAATGTGCAGCATCCAGAATGCTCACCACACATCAGCAGGGAGGAGAACAGAGTAATGAAGCTATTAAGGGGAGTATTAGGAGGCCATGACCGGTAAAGGCCAATGGGAAATTTGGCCAGGATGCCAGGGTTACACCCCTACTCTTTTCGAGAGACACCCTGGGATTTTTAATGACCACAGAGAGTCAGGACCTCAGTTTTACGCATTAGGACTCACATGGACCACAGGGTGAGCACCCCCTGCTGGCCCCATTAACACCTCCTCCAGCAGCAACCTTAGTTTTTCCCAGGAGGTCTCCCATCCAGCTACTGACCAGGCTCACGACTGCTGAGATTCAGTGGGGCTGCCAGTTGTGAGTTGCAGGGTGATACGGCTGCTGGCATAAGATCATTGCGCGTTGCGCACAAACGCAGTCACATCTCGCAAATTACCGCAATCGCGCATCTAGTCGACGTCCAAACACTTCCTGTAAATTTTCCGGGTTTGCAATTAAGATACCCGAATGATTCAATTGCCTTGCCAGTACCAGTATCACTTGGGAATGAGTCATATTGCAAAACAACCCCCGGGCATTTCTTATCCTGAATAATATGTGTTAAAAACAACTATATGCTTTCGACTAAAGAGCCTATTAAAACGATTAGTATATTTTTTCATACAAGAATTTCATAAGAATGTTTCTTATCTGAGCTTTCTATTTTAATGTTACTTTTACTTCAATTTACTTTTTCAGTTTTAGTGCTACTAATAATCAACGTGTACCTGAAATCTCGTGTGCTGATTCTGCTGATGTCGACAAGAACATATAGATTGAAGATTTTATCTGGTCATTGTTTGTTCCGTCACTTTAAAATAAAATCTGTTATGTCTATCTGTGTCAGATCTGTTCCATAACTTGTCATTGTGCCTTCTTACAAAAATTATTATTACTTACCTGATAATAACTAAGCGAGTTGGATTGTAATGCACTAGTTATTTAAGTGATAAATTCTTCAGAAATCCAGAATACATCAAGTGATGTGGTATAACGCGATACAACAGATACTGTATTACAATAGTTCAGGTGGGTAGCTGTTTCAGTATGCGTAGGCTGCAAAGGAACAAATAATAGGTTTATTCCACGCTGAAAAGAGAGAAAGAAAACACAACGTTTCGGCCATGGAGCCTTCATTTCAGCAGTGCTATTTTTCCTATTTGGTAAAAATAAATCTTTACAGATTTAGAATTTAGACACGATTTTGTGAAATAAACCCTTCAAAAGGCTTACTGACAGGATTTCATATCTGGAGATACGAGACAATAGAATGACTGCAAAATGACTATTTTGATTTCTATCAGTAAAAAAAAAAGAATAATAAAATAAAAAACAAATGTACAAGTTTAGGGATCTTGAAGTTACAAGTGCGTTTTGTGAAAGGGAACTCCGTATTTGTGTCTGGTCCTGCTGTTCAGGCGTTTGAGTTGTAACGATCAAATTTCGGAAATGATGGTAAAGCAATATAACTAATCAAGTTCACAAGGTGGCGCTGTGTCCCTGAGTGGTATAATTGTTCATTTCGGTGCTCGGTGCTCGGTGTTTGGGCTGACAACTGTTTTAAATAATGTTTTTTATAACTATTCCTTTTGAAATTTTATACCGACTTAGTTAGCAAGGCACAGATGTTGTCAACGTTTCCAGTCACTTAGTGTTTTCCTCTGTGGGTTTTATTTTCCATGAAATATGACTGATTAAGGGTGGCCCAGTGGCGTGACACTGTTGATCGCCGTTGGTCCTGGGTTCAGTTCCTGGGGGGTGTTATGTGCAGAGTCTGCATGCTTTCCCCATAGTCATGTAGGTTTTCACCAGATGCTTTAGTTCCCCTTATTAGTACAAACACATGCAGTATACATTAACTGGGAGTCTCTAAAATTGCCCCGTGTTTGTGTGGGTCCTGTGATAAATTGGTGTCTCATCCTGAGCTTATTCTAATGTGCACCTGCCAGATGAGGCTCTGGCTTACCACAGCCTGATATTGAACTAAGAGTTTGCTGACAAAGGTTGAAGGACTAAATTCAGCCATTAATTGCAGTTGTGATCCATGGAAAAGTCATGTTAAATACTGTCCATCACGTGCTAGTGCAAGATTTGCAATGTTTTCATAATGAAATGTATTTTTGAAGGAGGTTGGACCTCATTCTTACCACTTTCTAACTAACAAACCACTTTTGATGAGAGTCTAGTTTGTGCTAGGAAGTATCTCCTGCCTTGAGAACAGTATAACTGGGATGTCTAAATCCATAACACTACCATGACAGAGCCGCTCACCCATGCTGTATAGGGTTTGCAGCAAGAAATAGGGTAGGCTGTGAATTTTCTGCACGTTTTGGGAAAATCACACCAGGGGCCCAGCAGTGCACCGATGATTGGATCTTTAAAGCCTAAAGACACAGAGTGTCTCAGCAATCTGCTTGTTGAATCCCCCTGGAACCGAAGAGTGAGTGGAGATTCTGTGTAGGAATGTGGCAGGAGGGGTCCTTTTGCAAGGGATGGCGGTGGGTGTGCTCGTATGAATTAACACCACACCTGTGTGGGTGTGCTCGTATTAATTAACACAACACCTGCACCAGCTTTGGCAACAGCAGGCAGCTTGCAGCCTGTGTGTGGAGGGGGGAGGCAGCCTAGCGAGGTGCTGACAGGTGCCATGTCTATTTTTCTAAAGGCCCGTGCCTCGTGACTCACTGATAATGCACAGGCATATCAATTGCAGGCTTTATTACCATGTTATCAGTTCAAGTGGGGATACGAATGGAAATAACGTCTAACGTTGTGTGTTGACGCTTTCCTTCTGTTTCGTGGCCAACTGCACTTGCACGACGTCTGACGTTTTCTAGCCTCTTATCTAACTCATTGTTTCATCTTAACTAATTAATAACCCAAACTATTTATCATTTATTCCCATTGCTACTAATAAAAACCCCAACAAATGACTAAGATGGCTCTCTTTTTTTGGTATTGACAGCAGCAGTGTGTGTGTGTTATTAACCTCACATGGCTTCTAATGGCTTCTTTTCCCCTGAGTTCAGAACCTATTGTTGATCTCCAACACTAAGTAAGCTTCTGTCTAATACGCTGACACAGAGTACAAGTACCAACCTACACATCCCCTAGTGTGACCAATTTCTGTCATTCAACAGGCATGTTATCTGAAGTTCCAAGACCATTATAGGAACAGAAGTCTACTTAGCCCATCTTATTGATTTGGTTTCCAGCAGCTAATCAATCCAAGACTTTGTCCAGCTGTTTCCTGAAGGATTCTAGGGAACACAATTCAATAAAAATAACTTTGAAGTTAATTCATGACCCCCCACAATCTATTATATGAAAACAATAGATTTCAATCCTAAATGCTCTTCTTTTTCGATTTTATGTTTTAGTTTCCCTGGTGATTGGTTCTTTGGATGTGCTTTGTAGTACATCTGAGGATTTCAAATTCCTCTATCAAGTCCAAAGAAGCACTGTTTCTCCCTGTCAGTATAAGACATTCCTGTGTTGCCGTTATGTGAATTGATAGTCCAGCGGCAATACCTTTTTATGATATGGTGACCAGCACCACATGTACTATATTCAGAATGAGATTATCCTGATGTGTTGCAGAACTTTAACACATTAATATCTTCTGATGGCTGGAAGGTGGTGGATATCGGTGGGATGGAAAAAGGTTTCTGCATCATGCATTTTCTTTTAAAATGTCACTTTAAATGTCAGTTTAAGAATAGTCGAATTTCCTTTATTTTGTGTTGCGTTTTGTTAAGTTTCTTTTGGAGCACCACGTTTTCTTGTGGAAACAATCGGCAGATGTTTTCGGAAAGTGTATTTTGTGAGATGGGGA